AAATAATTTCAAACGGCCTCAATGAACAATAAGTACAATAATAAATAGAATAAGTAGGTACCTAATCAAATTATTGTTACCACGAAAAGCGTCAACGCTTGAATGAGTTTCAGAAATAAATCTATATTAGCAAATTGTTACCTATATTGTTTACTCCAAACAAATAAAACGCTTTAAAATCGAGACACATTTCAAATGCCTCAAACAAATACAAAATGTTTTACTCTTGATAGGTTTGATAATTTTTTTGTTGTTATTTGTAAATTTAATTTAAAATCATTGTTTTTAAAAAATTTAATTGTTTTTTATCTAGATAAATTATGATTATCTTTTATCTTTTATGAAGATAATTTTAGTTGAGCTTATTATTATCTCTATCTAGATCAAGGGCGAATCCCGACCGAGATAACGTGGGGGGAGCGATTTTTAACGGACACACATGATATAGATATTTATATAGATAAAATTAAAAATATTAATTTTGATATAGGTTATTTATTTAAATAAAAAAAGTTTTAAAAAAAAAAATTATATACAGTTGAACCCCGATTTACAGTGTTTCGATTATCCGTGATCCCGATTAACCGTGATCAGTCTTCCAAAATTATCGTCCCTCGAAATTGTTCGTCTGAAAATTTTAATTAGGTCGGACGAACGTATTTTTATATTATGTACAGATTATCGAAAAACGTAAACGAACTTCTCAGCGATAAAAATATGTCACAGGTAAATATGAGTTATTTAAAATTAATAGAGTCTAATAGAAGTTCTTCAACAATCATATTTATCTAATCACGTTATAACTAATACATAAGGGGAAATTTTCAAGTCTATCGAATTTGTTTCATATTATTTAGTTTATTTTTAGCATTTGCTATAACCGTTTCAAAAACAGTCATTGACAAAATAATATCGTACGCACTTAATATGGACATAAAATTATAAATTTTTTCATAATTCGTTGAATAAAAAATCTCGATTAACCGTGTTTTTCATTTTTCCGTGTGACTCTTCCCCGCCATTGCCCCAGATAATCGAGGTTCTACTGTAATAATAATAAAAATAATTTTTTTTAGTTATTCTAATATGTCTTATAACAATAGTTTATAAATTATAAATTTGTTGATTATTGAGGTGCCGAACGATTTTAACGTTGGTCGTCATTTGTTATCACGTTTCAGAAACACCGACAAACACAAAACTTTGTTACGAATATTAAACATCATGATAATAGTCTATTACTATGATTATTATTTGGTGATGTATATCACCAAATAATAAATATAAGTGATAACATAGTACCAGTATAAGTTTGGTATAAAAAAAAAAATAGTTTTCTCTATTTACCCTTGAAGTAATTACGTCAAAAACTAGTTTGCTACGGTGAACGGGGGGGGGGGGGGCGATCGCTCCATTCGCCCCCCTCTGGATCCGCCCCTGATCTAGATAGATTTTTGTACAATATCTTTATTTTGATCTAGATAAAAAAGTATTTATCTGGTCTCAACATTGATTATTAACATTATGCTTATATTTTTACAATCAATGGCTGGGTATACATTTATAATGTATTGGATATATAGTCATATAAAATCTATAGACACAAGAGAAATGCTCTATATAATAACTGATTATGAAAATAACGTTCGGCATCTGTTAAATACCCAAGCAATTATAATGTGTTTTGCAACGTTCTTTTATATATGCGTAAAATATATCATGAATAGATTGACGACTGGTTCAATTTCCTTATATACTTATTCTTTCTACAGTACTATACTCATTTTTGCAGTCAATGTTTTCTTGCGATATTGATATAATTATTGCGACTTACGTATTATACTTTCACAACAAAGATATTTTTCTTTCTTTTGTTAGTTAATTTCTGTGCAATTTAACACAACCTAGGAAAATTTAAATAATAATTGTTTAAAGTTACAAGTCACTTTTTAATTTTCTTAGATTTCTTAAAAAAAATCGAAAAATGGACATATTTTTTAATCATTCATTATATTAAAATGATAAGTTTCTAGTTAAGGCATTTAATTTTCTACCTTCAAATAATCATCTGAGAATTAATTTCATCTATACACCATGACGATGAAATAGATGAAGAAACAGGTGGTAAAAGAAAAACCAGATATAATTGCATTCTATAATAGAACAAAAATTGGAATTGATTTAGTTGATAAAAATAATGTAAAAATGGCAATGTAGCACGTAAAACAAAGCGTTAGCCAATGTTTGTATTTTATAATCTTTTGAACGTGGCTGATATAAATGCACTAAGTAATTATAAAGCTAATCACACCGAAAATACAAAAATAAAAAGGGTTGAATTTTTACAAAATTCGACATGGGAACTTATAAAACCACAAATTCAATTGAGATCAACAGTAGAAACAGTAGTATAAAAAAATTAGTTAAATTATTTATATTATTCTAAATTAGTGATGGGCATAATCAGATTTCATGGATTATCCAGACTATCCGTATTATTCAAATCAATTTCGCTCTTAAATTATTCATTTTTATATTTACATAAATTTAATTATATTGTATTGTTGTATAAATTCAACTAATCTTCAGATAATTTTATTCAATAAACGTTCAAATTTTGAAGCAAAGTTTACATTAAAGTCTCCACTTAACACCAATGGCAATTGATCTCTTCCATTAAGGTTAGCAAGGGAGGGGAGAATTCAAAAACCCGCGATTCCCATCGGTGGGGTGGGTCCTAGTGACCTCCTGGACTGAAATACAGAAAAAAAGCAAAAAGCCAAAATGGGGAGATGCCCCGTTCACTAAAGCGGAAACCTGTAGTCCCGCATCTCCGGAACGGTTCCCAATTGGTCCGGGGTCATTAAATTTTAACCTCACTGAGTTATGACCAACTCAAAATGAAGGGGGGGCTTTTGTTCCCGAATGGGAGAAATTACTTTATGACCATAAAAACTCAGAACCCCCTAGATCAGAGGTCTCTAATTTCCATACCCGCTAAGTTGGGATTAGAAAAGAAAAGATTTGTTGGGTTGTATACTGACCGTTGCATAGCAGATATACAAGTTAGGTTATGTGTCTTATTAGTGTGTCATTCAGTTGTTTTATTCTGATCAGTCGGTCACATTACTAAATATTTTTGTCATATATTCAGTAAAGAAGTTTCGCTTCAAAAGCAAATTCATAAATCCGGATAGTTCGGATACTTCGGCAAATCCGGATGATTTTTTTTTATTCAAATCCGGAATTGAATATTAGGACATCCGGATAATTCAGATATTCGGATTTCAGGCTCGTCTCCAGAGTTGGGCGTTATTTGAATAAAATTTTATTTAGATAACATTTTATTCGAATAACTTATTATTCGAATGATTTTTTCACAATTATTCGAATAAATTATTATTGGACTAATTTTCAAACACAATTAATATAAGATATCATAAATTCAAACAGATAATTTTTATAGCTACATGTCCATATCTATCTAGTGTCTTTGTATTTTTTTATAGAGCTCTATATATTTGAACTTATAAATATGAAATACAACATTGAACATACATAGTTAGTACATAATACCAAAATATCTGAGACTATACAATATAGAACAGAAACTGGACTAAACTAGATATAATAATAACAAATTCAATATTGATAATTAATTACTATTAAGGTACATACTAAATACATGTAGACAAACTAGAAGAATTATAATCATTATTTTACAATATATATTTAGTAATTAGTACTAACTACTACTACATATACTAGGATAGGATAACTATGTTTAAAAATTATTCAAATAATATTAAGGTCACAAATGATTCCAATAATATTGTTTCCAAATTATTGGAATACATTTTTATTCGAATAATATTGTTTCTAAATTAGTCGAATAATTTTTTAATCGAAGAATTGTAAAAAAATCATTCGAATAATTTTTATCTTTATAATATTTTTAATATGTTTACAATAAACATATGGGTGGTGTAGATTTATTGGATGCCCATATCGCCCGATATAGAGTCGGAATGAGATCTAAAAAATGGTATTTTAAAATGTTTTATCAATTCTTTGATGTTGCGATGGTTAACGCGTGTATTTTATACAAAAAAGTTAACAGTGATGAAAAGTATATGCCACTAAAAGATTTTCGTCAAGAAATAGCCGTATCATTGTGCAAAATTGGAGAACAACTAACACCAACCAGAGGGAGGAAACGAAAAGAACCGGAACAAAGCGAAAAAAAAAACGAGGTAATAAGTCGAATTTGTTTATATTATTAAATATAAATAAACAAGTATTATTATTTTTTCTAGGATATTAAACATATAAGCCACCAAGAAACGTACGGTTGGACATGATTGCACATCTTCCAAAAATAAACGACAAGAGAGAACGTTGCAAAAATAATGGTTGTGGCATAAAAACATCAATTATGTGTCGAAAGTGCACAGTATACTTATGTTTAAATAAAACAAATGACTGTTTTTATGATTATCATTGTCCACAATGATAAATATTTTTATATTATTTACCTGCTACTTTTATAATATAGTGTTAAAAGTTTTTTATAATTTTTTAATAAATAAAAAATATCAATATAGCAAATCAAATAATGTACTTCAAAAAATTATATCTGTAGTTAACAAAAATGTTATGAATAAAATACTCATATATGTATGCACAATGTTCCATATATGGAACAATTTAAAATTTCGAAATTTCAGCAAAACTAAAACTTAAAAAAGTTTTTTTTTATTTTTCCTAGTTTAGTGAAGTACACACAAAACTCACATTATTTTTTTTGAAGGAAAAAAAATATCGTGCAGTGTAGGGTTAACAAATGTATGCAACTTAATTCTGAAGGAAGTTTGGTATTTATTGATTATTATAAGGTAATATTTATTATATTTTTATATCCTATAATTAAAAAATTATTTTTAGAAATTTTATGTTGGCAACACATTTTATGTCGCCGTCTTTCGATTCCGGTCCTTATCATTTTTCGGACAACTGCACCCGACTCTGATTATCCAAGGTCGATATAACGCATAGAGTAATTACTCTATGATAAAACGGGACAGCACTGTTGTAATACTATAAGCTAAAGTAAGTTTCAAAATATTGTGTAAGCCTTTAAAACACTATAATTGTTTGTAAAGTAATATCTATAATTTTTTAATTGTATTGAAATAATTTAACCAATAAACGATTTCCAGGTAAATGGCATTAAATCGTGCATGGTATCACATAAAACGTAATTTTATTTCTGCAACATTTCCCATAATTTCGTTTTCTACTATTTACGCCGATTACACCCATACATTAAACTGGAAAAAAACACAGAACACAAAAGCTTAAAGTAAGATCCAATATAATTTTGGCTGTAACCTATAGAAATTAATATCTGTTAGATTTATGTAGTTTTATGTAAGCTCAGTACTTTATTTCAGTGGGTACTTACAATACTTTTGGGCTCTATTTAAACGAAATGTGTTGGTATGTTTAATAAATTATAATGTATTAATAATTTAATAAACATAATATCTGACATTTTTTATTTAATATTGTGGTATATTAGTCCCAATAATTGTTTTCCTTGAAATATACGATAGTATATTTTTCTTAGATAATTTCAATTATTTTTAATTCTTACTTTTGTTGTCAATTGTAGATATTATATTATCATTAAAAGTTTTTGCATATAATTTTAGAAAATTTATTTTTATCTTATTTTATGAAACATTTTTAATACATTTGTTATAATTAGTAATTATGAATTACTATATGGTTAAAGTTGTTTAATAATTAATTTCCATAATAATATAATGTATTAGAAATAATTCAATGAAGATATTAGATAGCATTATTAGTATTGTAAATATAAAGTATACTTTAAAAGCATATATGTCTTAAAGCATTACAAATGATAATTTGTTGAAGAAAAAAATGTAATATTATATTTTATTATAAGGTTCCTTTAATCTTACTACGTTGTATTAAAATTTATTTGTATTATTGTCATTTTTAATTTTTAAAATAATAATTTATTTTTAGGTTTATTCTATAATGGCAGCCAAACATGCATTATTTGGTTTAACCTGGGACTATTTCATAGTAGCTATCCCACTATCAGTTGGTGCTCTTTTTGGCAAATTTTTAGATGACAAAGAAACGGAAAGGATGACATTATTTAGGGATAAAAGCGCATTATATGGTGGAATGGTAAAGGATGGAGAAAAACCTTCTTGGCCATAAATATTAGCAATTTTATAATAATGTGTGATTAAGTAATCATTACAGATTAATTCCATAAAATGTAATAGAAACATTTTTACTAAAATAATTTTCAATATAATCTAAAATGTTTATTTTATTAATTATTAAGAACAATATACCTAAAAACCAAGTAGTTGTGTTTAAAATGTAATCTACAGTTTTATGTTTATTTCATCTATTAATAAATACAAGATCCTTGAATCTGATTAATTGTATTTTTATAAATCCAAAATTACAATTCCTTTATAATTTATGTAGTATAAATCTATTATTTATATAATGATATAACATTAACCATAAAAACTGTAGTTGCATTATAGTATTGCTATTATTTGCATCTGGTGTTATGTATTTATAGACAGATGATTTATTGCTCACTTGAAAAGCTGTGTTTTAATTTTACTAACTTACCATTAGTATAGGGATCCCATACGTCCTGTATTTGAATAAAGTGTCTCGACACTAGTATAAGCATAACACTTTAGTCTCGTATTTTGTATAGTCTATTTCAAATATACCTTATTTTAAAAATTAAATTGGAATTCGCGTTGTATACTTTCTCCCAGTACTTTGATCGCGTTATGTTATCCACCTTTCGGGTGATATCTACTTTGTACGAAGACTGATATTGCAGATATAACCATATAATTATAAACATCAACTCGTACGAATGGAGGGCTTACAGCAATTTAAGTGACCATGGCTATGTACATAAAACTGTAAACCACCAGTTCCACTTCATTGATCCAGAAACAGGGGCCAATATCCAATCTATAGTCTACGTAGAAACATGTCAAAGTAAAATATAGCATAAAAACACATGGTGCTACTAATTTATTGGAACAGCAGATGATGGAAGAGTGGTGGGCATTCACTCCAATAAACAATTGTGGTAGATACATTTATTTATATTTATTTATTAATGGACAGAGCCCTATACAACCGTTTCACAGTATACAATTTACAATTTAAATAATTAATACAAATTACACACATAGATTTAGACAACATAGTAATACAATAATTAATTAAGTATAATGGTAAGTATTTAGTAGGACACCTAATTTTACTAGTCTTAATAAATGGCGCTCTCATTGACTAATCTCATCATGCGATATAAAGGATTATTTCTCCCATAATTTGTAGTGTGCAGACTTGGATGGTATTCAAAATACTTTTTAAATACATTTTTTGAAAGTATTCAATAAAGTATTTTGAATACTTATAACGAGTATTCTGAAAACTGTTTTAATATATAATCTGCACAAGATAAGAATCTTTTCTGAATACATTTTAATTGACAGGAGTCCGTTACTGTATAAGGATCCCATAAGAAAGATGCATATTCTATAAGGGATCGGACCAAAGAACAATATAAAGATTTCAGTGAAAACAATAGATTGAATTATTTTGATATACGTATTATGAATTCAAGCGTTTTAATAGCTTTGCAACATATCGTTTCTATATGGGAGTGAAAGTTAAGATCTACATTAAAAATAACACCCAAGTCTTTCTTACTACTAACAGGGGTTACGCTAGAACCGTTGATTGTGTATGTATAATTAATAGAGGAGCGATGTTTTAAAAATGACATACAATGACATTTATTTACATTAAACTGAAGACCAATACTATTACACTACGAGACCAGGTTGTTAAGATCATTCTGGAGCGCAGAGCAGTTAGATACATTTTCAATTTTACTAAAAAATTGTACGTCATCGACAAACATAACTCACAGTTTTTGACAACCCCCTTTATGCCATTAATATATAGCGAAAACAATACCGGGGATAAATGTCCTCCCTGAGGAACATCAGAAGAGACATTAGAAATGGAAGATTTGCAGCCGAATACATGTAGATAGCATACGACGCGAGTTCCATTAAGTTTTTTAAATTTTCTATTATTGATAAACTATAATATCTAAATCAAATGATAATTAATAATATTTGATTCTAAAAAAAATAGTAGCCACCTAATTATTTGTTTTTAATTTTAATTAAAATTTATATTTGTTTGAAGTATCAAATATAGTTTTCAACTTTATTTTATAGTATATTTAGTAACTATAAGGAAAATTGCTAACGTAAGTCACCTCCTCCCTCCACCAATTAACATCAGAATTTCAAAATTTGGTATGATTTAAAATGTCCCGTATTTTTAAAAAATAAATCTGGGATCCCTACATTAGTAAGTTTGATAATGAGGAACTTACAAAAAAAAAAAGGAAATAAATGATATTTTTTTAGTTTTGTCAGTTTTGGAAATTTTTGAAATTGTTGAGTAAAATTGATGTTAAATTAATTGGCAATTTACTTGAAACATTAAAATTCCTAGTTTCCGGTTTTATTTTTAAATTTCATTTACATTATAAAAGTAAACAAATTGTTATAGTAATAAAACCAGAAACTGAGTAACCTATCACAGTAAATCTATAAATATCATAGACTTGATGAATTATGATTGCCCAACTTATTTAATCTTTTTTTATGGTATAAGGGTTATAATTGTTGATAAATATATTCTGCCCCAAAGTCAAATTTTGTATTTATATTTTATTTTAATATAATATATGATATAAGAATAAGTAATTCATGAATGAATGGGAACAATCAGTTTTGTCGACAGATGGTTGGCCACACTTTTTGTGTCGAGAGGAAACATTATTTATTTTTTTGTATATATATATATGTGAAAATAATTAAAATTGAAAATAAAATATATTATATTAACATTTAATAAAATTAAATATAAAATTATAATCGTAACTTACGATATAGATTCTGTGTCTCCATCACCCATAGATTGGACATACCTTAGGGGCAATACTAAAATATGCTATTGGGCCTACATTTATAAGTTTATGCTATACATTTAAAATTAATTGTTAAAAAATTTGATAATAATTGTAATAATAGTAATTATTGATTTTCAGTTGATACCACGATTAAAAATCTACTACAAAATAAATTTTAAATCGTGGTTAAAACAAACAAACAACCTAAATCGGTTAGTATTATTATCAGTATAATAATAATTGCAATTCAATTAAAATTATATTTAAATGGTTCGAAGTGAGTCACTGAATCGATTCAATAAACTGAACTGAATTAGGAAAATCGATTAATTTAACTGCATCATATTTCCCATTCTAATTGTTAATTTTGTAATATAAAAGTTTCATTTTTTTTTCAGGTTAACACTGATGCCAATATAGGGCAATCTATGGGACCTGTTTTATTATCAATTTCTATCACATAAACACCTATAATTTATATCCATGGTTGTTATTTTGATTAAGATATTTATACTATTTAGTTTATTATGTAGTTTTGTACTTTCAGTATATAATATATAATTCTATATAATAGAACATAGTTCTGTTTTCTATGTTGATGTTAACAAAAGTAATATATGAAAAGTGCTAGGCTTATAGTTTTATAAATTAAATTAATTGTTTTCACGCTGCATGTATTACTATATAAAATACAAATATTGTAGCCGGTAGAACAATTTTTTTAAAAATAAAACAAAATATTATTTCAATATATTCTACTATTTATATTCTATTTAATTTATAAATTAAAAATGGAATTGAATCCTATGCAAGTTGCCTTAAATACTGTCAGAACTTTAAGGTTGGAATTAATGCAACTTATTATTGAAATTAGCGAAGGAGTTAAAGATGATGGTACACAAACTGATTCAAAAGATAATCGTTATATGTATTCTATGAATGAAATGGTTGGAAAACTTGGACTTCACATGAGGTATTATTTATAGTAATTGATAACTAAAATTTACTTTGAACTGAATAATTCTATAAATTTTGTTATTAGAGATCTTGAACAAGTTGTTGGATCATTATCCAGCCCTCCGGGTGCTATGCTACTGTATAATACCTCATTTTTAACACAAGAAAGTACATCTGATAGACAAGCATTATACACTCCTCTGGTGTCTTCTCATAAATGGCTTGATAAAGTATTAAAAAATAATCATATATTTTTAAATAATTCATTAATAATTCCATTTTGTAATAGGTACATAAATTTAGTTCCAACGCAATACAAATTTTAAGTCAAAATTCATTAAAAAAATCGTATTACAATTCCAGTACAAATAAAAAAAAGCGTCAACAGTCCAGTATGCATAATATTTCACCTCAGTAAATATTTTACATAGCTACATTTTTATTGTATCTAAAAAATGTGATTAATATGTAACTCAAACTGATTTATTAACTGATTTTAGAGCTGTTGATGGATTGTTAACTAATATTGATAGAATGTTTCCTGATATGAATATTACAATAACAAGACCATGTGCATCTAATGTGGTTTTATTGGTAATTATTTCTTTTCAATTACATGTTTAAATATTTTACAAATTTAATTTCATATCTTTTGTCTTTTGGCCTTTAATACTGTTCTAAAAATAAGAATATTAAATTAAAATTTTAGAAATAACTGTTTACACAATTAATCTATAGTATAAGTATATAGCCATTATATAATTATACTATAATGCAGTGATTCCCAAACTTTTTCAGCTGAATTCAAGCCTTTTTTTAAGCATTATCTTTTCATGAAGCTCTGAGAAATATTTAATATTAAGTTTTATTTGCCTATGTTCTATAAAGCATATTACACATATTATGTAAATAGACAGACCTAGTTTAATACTATCATAAGCCCTAGCTCTAAGGCACAATGCTTTTAGTACTAATTCGACCGTGCAGTGTCCACTATTGGTTAAGAAAACTTTGGTGGAGAAAATGTTGTGTCTCAATGTTAAGCTTTTAAAAACAAAAATATTTACAATATAAGAATCAAATCTAAACTTTTATATTATAACTTATTTTTTATATGATTAATTTTAATTAATTAAAAATAAATAAATAAAAAATAATAAATATAATATATATATATAATAAATATTTTATATTAAATTAATTTTTTTTTTTTTATTTCAATTAATATTATTATTAAATAAAATTTTCAAATACCGTAAAAACCAACATTTTTTTTTATATTATTTTGCATAATTCTGTAACCATTGTAATTAAGTGTAAAACCTAAAAAATATGTGACCCTAAAAAATAAATAAATAATAATTTTATAGTATATTACAGTTTACTCCCGATTATCCGTGGAATAGGGTGGCAGGACATCCACGGATAAACGAATTCTGCGGATAATCCGCAAAATTAAATTTTATAATAAAAACTAAATTGGAAATTGAAATTGAAAATTATTATTACATATGTATTATTAAAAAAGATACACATGTATGTACAATGAATGTATGTATATGTATAATGAAAAATTAATAAAAATTATAAATTATTTATGTGCAAAAAAATAAATCACAAGTTGTTGTTTCTTTGTTTGAAAACTCTTCTTTTTAACTTGTGATTGAAGTTTTTTTAATAACATTTTGTCACACAGAGTTGTATCGTCTCGTTCTTCTAGATATTTAATAATCCCGTCTATATGTTTTAGAGCTGCTTCATAGCTCACTTGTTTTACTTCATTTACTTCATCGTTTTTCTTCTTCTTCACCTTCACTTTCTGAAATTGTACCTAATGCTCCACTTACTATTTGTTCATCACTAAGACACTCAAATCCTGGATCATTGGCATCACAATTTATCCACTCATTAATGTTTTCTTCGTCAATATTCTCTGCTCCAGTAAGAGATTTAGAAAAATTAGCCAATATACAATACGTATATATTTTTTTGTATACATATAGGTATGTAGACGATTCCGTGGAAGACAGCGGATAATCGAGAGTAAACTGTACATAAATATTACTTCATAGTTATAAAACTCTTTTTGTTTGCAAATGATTCAATTTCTTGGAGCAATTTGTGTTCAATTGCAAGTGCTGATAATGAAAATAATTTATTTTTCCTAATAATTAATATACAAAATATGATAACCAAAAACACCGAGAAAACAATATATAATTAGTATAATTAAATTAAATTAAAAGTAAATTATTTTTGCCTGTAAATTCTTATACATAATATTTTACTTATGCAAATGTGTACAGTTGTACTAGTTGTATATATTAATTTATAATAATAATAAAAAAAAAACAAAATATTACTAAGAAATCATAGCCATATATAGTGACATATGTAAATCTTAAGTGCCTATAGTGCCTATACGTTAATACGGCCTTATAGGTAGGAGAAAACTCAAAATAATATAATAAATATTTAATATAACATTTAAATACAATATTCCTGACCAGATAATACTTGGAAGGGAATGCATATTATCTAAAATTAAACAATTATATTTTTTTATTAAGATTTTAATATTGTATGTATACTCCCATAGGTTAATTATAATTGCTTTGGAGTCTTCTTAAAATATATATATATATATATATATTTTATCTTAAATAACAATTAATAACTGTTATATTATTCAATTTTTTTTATAAAGTGGAATAGAGCTCTCGAGAAACAATTGCAGAGTTCTAAGGGCTCTGCAGAACACAGTTTTGGAACTACTGCTATAATGAATTAAATATATAAAAATATGTTTCATCATACCATATAAATTATCTTAAAAACAAAATAAATATATTTTCGATATTTTACTATTGAAAATAGTAAATGTTTGATTGCTTGTAATTTTTGGTATTATTAATTTTTGTATTTTCATATAATTAATTTAAAATTATAAATACAAATTGATTGATTTGTGATTTTTCTTCTTTAGGTTGGTTTAAGTAGAGTTTTACAAGCTATAATATCATTTAAAGGTGTTATGATTGAATGGGTGATTGTTAAAGGATTTAATGAGCCTATAAATCCAAATAATTTACAACAAGAACTTTGGCAAGAATCAAGATATCATGTTTTTCGTAAGATAACTGATCATGCTAATGCAGCTATGTTACATTTCTCTTCACCAACTTTGCCTGATCTTTCAGTTCGATCTTTCATGGTAACTATATTATATATACTAACTTAATATAACAAATATAGTCATTACTTTATTAATAATGTTTATTTTCAGACTTGGCTCAACAGTTACATGACATTATTTAATTCCGTTTGTAAAGCATGTGGCAATCGTTTGGTTAATGCATATCCACCTACTTGGAGGGATCTAAGATCTTTAGATACATACCATTATGAATGTAAACCATAAGTTTAGTATATTATATATTTATATTCAAAACTTGATGTAAATTGTGTTTTATTTTTTGTGTATAATTTGTAATCAATAAAGCTTCTAATTTTACATGTACAAATTATTTAATTTTTTTGTATTAAATAATCTATAGAAAAATTCTAGTTTTTCTTTGGATAATCAAATCATAATAATTATTTATTTGTATAATTTTGTGTAGATGAAGAATAAATAAAATTATGATTTTAATTGTTAGATATAATTATTCTCATTTTTCCTAAAATTAACAGAATACTTTTAATTAATTAGAAAGATAACTATAAAAAATTATGTTCTAAGATATACAATTTATTATTAATTTTAGAAACAATGATTATGAAATTTAATACGAGTTAACTAAAAAATTCAATATATTATCAGATATATTAAAATTAATTAATTTAACATTACATTTTATTAATTTTTATCCAAAATAATATATTATTTTCATTACGACAGAAAATAAATAATCTGTATGACTAAGTTAATTTTTACCATAAACATTTAGGAAGTTAAAATCCCCCCAAAAATATGGCTTATTTATTTAAAATAAGTAGCCACCTAATAGTAACACAACAAGTAGTTTTAATTTTTTAACTGTACATTTGTAAAAAATGTAAGATTTTTCAGAGTGGATGATTTTATTAATATTTATATATTTAATGTTTTTTTAAATTTTATTTAGATTATAATGTTTATCAGCTCCCTAAGTTTGTTAAATGTATAACCAGATGAGTATTAGTTAGATTTTATAGAGGAGGGTAAAGATGATTGTTGAATAGGATATTGTTAAAAAATAAATCTTATCAGACTGTCACATAGTTATGCGTTTTATAGTAAAACAATACTTTTTGAAGAAATATGAACCTCTCAGACGTGGATCAAAGGAAGTGCCTCCTCAGATCTCCAAAAAAAATCTTTTTCATACATAGCAAAATACCATAAATTTTTTTTTTTTATTAATAATTTATTAGTTTGCGCTTATACAATATCCATAAGAATATAAATATTGACAAATAAAATAACATAAAAAATATAATTAAAAGATTTTCTTAAGAAAAACTTGACTCTTTATTATTAAAATAGTATACTACTGTATACTAATTTGTAATACCATATTATGTTATTTTATTCCTTTATTGTTATAAAATCTAATTTTGTTCCTAAAGCTACAACTTACCATACATGCATTCTATTTATTTTAAATATGGCTTTGTTACCTCTCCCCCCCCCCCGTGAAAAATTCATGGATTCATCCCTGAATTCCTTACTTCTCGTTAATGGAAAAAATCCACGTTGAAACCTTATACAAAATTCAAATTTTTTTCTTATCATTTGATACAATTAGGGAGGAGTCGTCTCGGAAAATATGATATCTGTTAAAGGTATTATAAGGTTATTCAAACAAATGTATTAACTTTTTCGGTATTCATGTGTACACAATAACACAGTTTATAGTTATCAGTGACTCATCGTTCAAATTCTCAAGACTAAAAACCGACATCAAATTAGTCATTCAATAATTCAAATGATTTAATCTTTAGTATGAGTATGAAGTTAACATCACTGTGATAAATGGTTATTCCTTATCTATCAATAACACATTGTTCATTTTTATCATTCAATTTTTTTGTTCATCATAAGGCTTGTATTTCTTGACTTTTGATGAATGTTTGATAATATACGTTTTCATTTTTTCATTTTCCTTTATTTTTCATTTTCTAATGTGTTTAATTGCGTTGTATTGTAATTTATATGTTTGACAATTATATTCTATTATGTTCTATTATATTTGTTGAGAGGTTATTTTAAAGACACTGTGTAATTATTAAAATTACAAACACGATTTCAGTGTAGACCATATATTTATATGTAAGTTACATTGTTCAATTGAAAATTATGTAATAGCTATTTAACCAATAAAGAAATATTATTTAGAAATTAATATGAACTTATGAATTCGCTTGTATAATAATAATATTTTTGTTAGAGAAATTATTTATCTGTACATAGATTTACACTAATTTATGAATTATGAAACTAGGACAATAAATAATGAATTATCTTATCTTTGTTTCATAGGAAAAATAATCTACCATCTACCATTCTAGACTGTTTTTAATTAAAATTAGTTGTACATAAGTAGAAATTTTAATTTTCCAATGCAGTGTTTATTATACTTTATTTTATTTTTTATTTTTAATATTAGTTTTTATTTAGAACTTTTTTATTACTGATTAATTTTAGTAAGTGTATTGTATTATTTTTTCATTAAATGTTGTTATGTTATTTTTATATGTTATAGGAATTAAAGATATATATATATATATATATATATATTAATAACATTTCAAAATGATTAGAGTTGAAGAAAGTCGCATAAAATCCTATTTGACTATGGTAAGATAAAAAGTAGCCAAACTTAAAGTGTATCTTTGGAAATATAAATTTTCTATATTATAAAACACAATATTTTGATTAATTATGATTTATAAATTTATTATTTATATATCTGATGATATTTATATGATATTTATATATTTGTTATTTTTTTCGTAAATAATATCTTAGCTTGAGTTAAATCACTTTTTTAATATGTATATTAAAAAATAATTACTAATGCTAATTAAATTTTGGTTACATAAATGATTTCCATAATTTTTTTTGTCTAATATAAAACTTAATAGTTTAGAAAATGGTACTATTATATAGTGTTCATTGAATATATTATTTTAATTTATAATTAATATTATTAAAAGAAAATAAATGTCTTTAGTGTGTTTTAATATATAAACGTGATAAATTAATTAAATACTATATTACTTTATTTGTGTATATACTTCCGAAATTCAATAGCTATTCAATTTTAAGGCTTATATATTTTTTTATAAAAATTTATTTCAAATATTTAAACATAATGGCAGCTCAAAAATTACAAATTAAATTTAAATTTAAATTCCAAAGTATAATGATGCAATATTTAAATTATACTTTTATGCTTTGTACTTTGTTGATTTGTTAATGTTTTTAATTTAATTTCAGTATAAATTTCCTGAACAAACAAAGAAAGAAATTGTAAAAACATTAAATTTTTATCATGGATTAATTTGTAACTTTGAAACTTTTCGTAAGTTATTTTAAACATATTATTAATATTCTTGTTTGTTTTAATTTTTTTTCTTCATTATTTTGTTACTTTAACAGTATTTTCAAACAGAATTGAAAAAAAACTAGTTAATTTGAGTGGTACTATCCCAGTGACATTTAAAGGTAATTTAAGTTAATAGATATTTTAAAAACAAGTATTTTTCATTTATATTTTACTTTAGGTACCACTTATCACATTCCCATTTGTATCTGGCTTATGGATACACATCCAAATAATGCTCCAATTTGTTATGTGAAACCTACTACGGAAATGCGAATTAAAATGTCAATGTATGTTGATCACAATGGGAAAATTTATCTACCATATTTACACAATTGGACTCCAGTAATATATTAAAATATTTAATCTGTAACAAATTTTAATAACATAATTGTACTTTTTCAGACTACGTCCAATCTCCTTGATTTAATTGGAATTATGACTATTACATTTTCGGAAACACCTCCTGTTTATTCTGTTCGTCAAACTGAACAACCAGTAAATCCTGGATATCCCTCACCAATGCGTAAATTTTATATTATATTTATTTTATTAATTATATCAACGGTTCTTAACCTGTGGTCCGTGATACTCTTGTTGCGGTCCACAGTAGCATTAACACATATAATACGTCAATATGTGACATGAGTGCATTATTACAATATTGTTGGATTATTATAATTTTTTTTTTCATGTATTTTTTATTAAATAATAGATAGATCTAATCTTTATACAATGGTAAAAAACGTGTGTCTCAAGTATAACACCAACCCATAAATTTAATAAAAATTAAATTTTAAAAATATTTAAAAAAAATAATAATAACTAAAATAATTAAATTTAAATTACTTGAAAAATTAAGCGTGATAAAAATAATTACTATAATTTTTGTTTTAATAATGAGATGTTTTATAAAAAAATAAAAAATTATATAAAAAAAAATTTGATAATGGTTTGCAATTTTTAAACATCCTTCATCGGGGTCTGTGATCTATAAAAGGTTAATAACCGCTGAACAATATCATATTTTTGTCGTGGAACAAATTTTTTCATGAAAAAAAAATTTAAGTTATTTTCATTATAATGGTATAATATAAATTTTAATATATTTAGCTTATGGTGGAACTGGCTCAAATGTAATGCACCCATATCCTTCAATACCTACACAAGCTGCTACTACTTCAAATCCTTCAACTTTTCATGGAAGCTCTAACACTCCTTATCCCTTGTATAATAATCAATTTCCAACTCCATCATATCCAACGGGTTCATCAAATACATCAAATTTTTCACCTTATTCTCCACCATATCCAACTCAAAATTGTGCTTACCCTCAACAACCTGCACCAATTAGACCAGAATATCCTCCTTACCCATCGGCTGCTAGCAGTTCACCTAATACTACACCTGGGGTAATTTTTTTCTTTTATATTCAATAAAAAAAATTTATCTCAAAAGTTAATTTATTACAATGTATGTCATTTTTTTTTTTTGTCTTAAGAGTAATGTTAGCGATGGTGGCACTATAACTGAAGAACACATTAAAGCTTCTCTATTATCTGCGATTGAAGATAAAGTAAGGAGACGTTTTAATGAACAAATGGCCCAGAATAAAGATGAATTAGATATACTGCAACAGTCTCAACGTGAATTAACTTTGGGAAAAACCAAATTAGACTCTATTCTAACTAGTCTTAACAAAGAAAAGGTAAACTAAAAGTAATTTTTATCTTAATATTAAAATTCATGTTTTATTTATCCAAATACTTTATTGTAGGCTGAATTAGAGCAAAACATTCAAGTATTACGTGATAAAGAATTAGAACTTGAAATGGCTATTTCTAAGCTGTCGAAAGAAGATAATATTGATATTGATGATGCTGTTACAACAACTGCACCACTTTATAAACAGTAAGAGTATTATGATGTATTTATTAATTTTTATTTTTTATAAGTTTTATGTAATTTTAATCTTTAAATCTTGAACTATTATTAGACTAATTAAAATCTCTAAAAAAATGTATAATCATGCTATTAAATTAAATTTTAAACAGCTGACAACATTTTAATAATATTTACAATTTATATACAATGCATGTTTAGTATCTTAATAACCATTTATTATTTTTATATAAAATTATATCTTTTGTAATATATTATTTTTATTTTATTATTAATAGAATATTAAATGCATTTGCTGAAGAAGCTGCAACTGAAGATGCAATTTATTATATGGGAGAAGCATTACGAAGAGGTGTGATTGATCTAGAAGTTTTTCTGAAACAAGTACGATCCCTATCCCGTAAACAATTTATGTTAAGAGCTTTAATGCAACGATGCAGACATAAGGCTGGATTAGTGGCTTAATTTAAAAAAAGAAAAATATGTTTATATTATATACATTACATTTACAGAATATATTTAATTTCTACATTTTATAAGATAGGGTAAGACAATTTAATATGTAGCCTATTTATATTCTATTATTTGTATTGTAACAGTATATTTCTGTTATAAAATATAATTAAAATAAAGAATATGCTAAATTTTTGTTAGTCGCATATAGTATATTATCATTCAGATTTTATTTTCTTAATGTATAACTAATAGTTTTTACCATTACAATGTAGGTACATTAAATATCAATATTTTAATTTTTTGATTTATTCAATGAATATTATTTTATTTCAAATTCTGTCCTAGTATTTCTATATACATTATTACACAAATTATGCGTCTAACGAAGTAACAGAAGATTAAATAAAACAAACTTTAAAGCCAAAGAGAACAACTTTTAATTAAACCATCTATCTGCATTAATGTATTATACCAAAAATATTATCAATTGTATTAAATTTCAACAACTTATTTTATCTATTCATTTGATAAATAACCGCAAAGAGTATGATAATAGTTCAAGTCACTGAAAAACTCAAGAACTTATTATATTTTTAGTTAGATCATTATAATTTTCTACTTATAAATTAATGTTAAAGTATTCTTATAATATAATTGTAATACTATCGTTATATATTATGCTATAATAACTTATTTATTATGTGTAATATTTATCATAGAGAAAATAAACCAATATATTTTTTATGACTTTGATTTATAATTTTTTCAAACATTCTTATATCCCTGGATTAATATCTGCCACGGGTAAATGTATTTAATAAATAAGATCAATAATGGATGCAATCAATCAATCAATAATTGCATTTTTATACAAATATTTTTCTTAATTAACTCGAAATATTTTCAATTTGAAATTTTCATTTTCTTAAACACATATGAATTCTGTAAATAAATTAGGAATCGGAAATATTTTTCAAAAAAATTAAAAATATTCACCTAAACATAAATAAATAATACAATTACAACCTTGTAAACAAAATGTTTGATAAATATAAAATTTATTTATTTTAAACATTTTTTTTTATGAATAAAAACAGTTTATCAAAACATTTAATTTGAATGTAATATTATTTGTATATAGTTTCTATTGATGACTTGTAAAATTTTTTTTAATAAGTATGATACATATATTTATATAGTTAGATATTCATGACAATTAAAATTAATTATTTATCCATGTTGTATGGGTAATAAATATTTGGTTATTTAAATGGCATTTAATAACTCTAAATAATATCTTTAATTAAAAATATTAAAGAAAAAAAAAAACAAGTAATAAATCATTACACATATATTCCAACCCATAGTAATAGGAACAATAGACCAAAACCCGTAAATAAGGCAGCAACAAAAGAGATTGTCAGTTCTTTTTTCAAATTTCTGGTATACTTTGTACCAGTTACTTCATAGACAAAAAACCATGCAGTAAAAAATACACCAATGCTGAGTAATAATAAAGTGAGATGTGGATAAACCGCTGGGCTAACTGGAGAAACATATCGCTTGTATAGTGTCATTTTGCTGAAAAAAAAAAAGTTTACATAGTAAAATTATAAATTGTATACTAAATAAGAAAATAAACTAGTAGTTCATAGTAACAGTTTTAAATATAATTTATATTGTGTATTCAATTATTATTTCAATTTATATGCTTTCTATACTAATTGTTTAATTTACAAAATACTATAAAAATATCAAACATACAGAATGAAGTTATGTATACTTGGTTCAATGAAAGAATAATGCCAGGGGCATACACAAAAAAATATTTTGAGAGGGATTGTAGGTTATACATTTTTATAATTATGTATTATATATACCACTTTTACTATATATAAACATATTTAATAATTTTTCTGAATTTCAAGAGGGGGTTTAAACCCCTAAAACTCACCCTTGTTTACGCGCCTGGATTATACACTTGTAATAACAGAAATGTATAAGAAAATGAAAGGACAGTTATTAGTTAGTTAGTTGAGATGTAATAAAAAAGTTTTGGTTTTTACATAGTCCTACTTTCCTAAAACCAAATATAGATCTACAATATTATCATTTTTAATATATATATATTTTAAAATATTTATTTGTCATTTTACAATATCACTGTTCTTAAAAAAAAATAATTTACAAATAGAGGATGTCTCATAAATTTACTATTTATATATTATACATTTATATACACAATAAAGTACATATATTTTTGTAAAATCAATACTGTAGACCTCAAAAAAAAAAAAAGCCATTGACTTTTTGAGGCTGTATAAATAAATAATTATTTATACATTTAAACTTTTTTTAATAAAATATTATTAAGAATATTGAAGAAGTTTATTTATAGGCGTCATCTAACAGAATTATATTCTTATATTTAGGAGCAATTCATCTTATAAAATATCTAAGTTAGTTGATATTTAATAAAAATTAAGAATAGAAATATTACCAGTGGTATAATCATTTTTAAAATTAAATAAATAATATATATATTTAAATTAAATAATATTTAAAATATGTATAAATTACAATGAAATTTTAATGAAAAAATAAAGGCTTTAGATTTTTATTAAATTCCAAAAAATACATTTGAATACATAGTACTCAACTTAATACTTTGAATTTTAGAAATAATTGTACAGCAACAAATGTAATATAAATGTAAATGCACACAATCCTAAAACATATTGCATAAATAAGATTAGGAAATGGAATAAAACTAAAAAAATAATAACTTAAGAAAAAACAAATTTATACTTATGAATCAAAAATAAACTTACATTTTATTTAAAAATATACAGCTATTTAACTATACAATCACAGTTTAATATATTTGTTATTTATATATATATATATATCTAGATATATGGCATGCTTATCAAATTAATGTTAAATTGAGTGCAATAAATGAATTAATACAATTTAATTTAAAAAAATAATTACATCAAAATATATTTATCATTTAAAATATCGACCAAAAGCTGTTTGTCATGTAGTACATCATCTACTTCATTTTTATCCCAAAGTAATATTACTTTAGATAATCTATTCATACTCTGTCCTTGTATCTTAATTATTCCTCTTGTTTCTATTAATGAACACATAGTAATGAATTCACTAAGATCTCGGACTTGAATATTCCTTTTTGAACAAATTGTTTTGAAGACATCAAATAGTCTCCCAATAGTAATAACTTGACTTTTTTTACTTGAAGATAACAAAAGTAGTAATGCACATACTACTAATTCTTGTAGTAAAGGTAATTTTTCAGAATTTTCATCATTAATATCAAGTGCTCCTGAAGTAGAATATACATTATTTAACACAGCTATCACATCATTCAATTCTATTTTTTTATCAGTTTTTTCATCTGCTATTTCTATAACTTGTCTAGTAACATCTAACGCACAACGAACATCACCTCGAAAAGAAGCAATTTTTGCAGCCAACAACTGAATGGCATTACTAGGAAATACTTGTGCAACTCCTGCATTTTCTAATCTGTGGGTTATGATATTGAACAATTCAGTTTTTGTATAAGGCGGAAAATTGAGTAATAATGGTTGTAATGATATTTTAGTTTTTAACATCGGTAACAATCTATCAGTCAGATCTAAGGAATTAGCAATACCAATGACTATCAGTTTAGATTGAGGAATAGTTGGCCATTCAAATAATTTATATAATATAGATTGATTCTTTGAAGACAATTGATCAATTTCGTCCAACACTAAAAGAATTGATTTGTGTTTGGTTTTTAAATATTGTTCAATAGTTAATATGCATTCTCTCTGAACACGGCAGCCGAGTTTCAATATTTCTGCAATCTTAGCATAAACACAATTAGCAGATTTTATCATACTACAGTTCACATATACTACATTGAAATTGTTAATGACTAAATCGCTAACAAACAATGAATGCAATGACACTGTTTTTCCAGTACCCGGAGGACCAGATACATACATGGAAGCAGAAACATGATCTTTTGTGTGTTTTTCCAAGAAAGACTTCAAACAATTGATTTGTTCTTCTCTGCCGGGTAGTGAATCTGTATAACCGCTATGCAAATTCAACAATGCTGCTCCAAAATGCGATTTTTTATTGCAAGTCATTATTCTAAGTGTTAAGGCCTAAAGAATATCACAGACACCAACAATCATCAATCGAGGATATAAATAAATAGGAAATACCGACTCGTTGTTAGTAACTGGTCAGTTAGATTCAATAAGTATTACGAGATAAAAAGCGTGTATAAGGTGGGTACAATAATCGAGAAACAACACGTCAATGAATTAGAATAAGAAATTTAAAAACTGTTTGTCCTAGCGCTAGCTTAGACAAATTACAGAAATTTAATTTACCTCGTTGATTCCGGTAGGGATTGCTGAGCGGCCTTTTTATTTATTTCGAGGGGTGCACGTCTTCTATTGTCGTTGGTGTCGGCAATTCGGCGGTATTCCCCTGCTTTTTCATGTACGTGTGTAATATCATTAATATCAGTATTTAGCGATTAGCAGTTGGCAACGAAATCGTTCGTGCGTTGTACAAATATGAACATAGAACCGGTCATTCGGTTATTTAGTAAACATAATAAATTGAACAACAAAATTCAATTGAAATTTCGTACACAATATAATATACATCACAATATACCTATTATTATTATTATTATTATTATTATTATCGTTGTAATTATAATTTACCGATCATTATTCTACTGATATTATTATACCATTATCATATATTTTAATTCACTACACACACATACATACATGCAGAGAGAAGAATTGGATAATAAAATTTATTTAGTACGGTAGGTATCGCGGTTGACACTTGAGCGTTTGGTTTAGACTTCGTGATAATCGTCACTTATATAAGCGTTTGCGTGATTGAATTTCGGTCGTTTTTTTTCGTCTGATGCATGATGGCCTACATACCAAAATGCTGACATCTGAGTTAGGTTTCTAGGTATACCCAAATTAACAAGTATAAATTTAATCGTTTTGCCTCGATGTTATATGCCAATATTATTGCTGAACGGAGAAATGTTAATTGGTACAACACTCTTGTTTTTGTTGAACAGACTACAGAATAATCAAGATCCCGCGGACGATAATAGTCGGACAGTGCAAAACGGCCATGAGAAACATTTTTCAGTGTAATGAATGAGGACGAGATAGCCGATAAGGTATACGAGGAGAGAGAAAGAATAGTTGATTTGTACAGGAATGGGCCTGGAGATGGAACTATTATAGACCCTGTTGATGATCCAGCCTTCAATGACTACCACAAGCTTGACAGGTTTGGTTTCATAAGGTGAGTAATCATTCTGTTTTCCATTTGATGTACATTGTTTGTTAGTTGAAATTTATTTTTCTCATTTTTTTTATTTTCAGTGATGTGACCAAATTGAAAAAAGAAGATCCTCAAGAAATCAAAATCGAAAGAATCAGAGAACAAAAATGGCTAAAAATGATATACAACTGGGACAGTGTGTCTTCTGAAAAGCTCAAAAAACGTGTATACAAAGGCATTCCAAATTCATTGCGTGGTAAGGTGTGGGCAAAACTATTACATGTTGATCAACTTACTGATGATCAGAAAAATAAATATAAAGTAATTATCTATTTAATAATTATTTATAATATTATAATTCATATAAGTTACGTGAAATTATTTCAAATCTAATTTTCATATTGATATTATTATTTTTTTTATAATTTAACAGTTGTAAAAAAAACATCAAATTAAAAAATAATAGTTATATATTACCATTTTTTATCTGAAATAATTTGCTTTTTATTTGTAAGATCTGTATTTTTAGGTTATTAATCATAAACTATTGATTTTCTACTTAATAATTTTTAGTAACTTTTGAAAACTTTTTTATAATTTTTGTACTATTAACATTATTATTTTTTAAAATGTATATTCTTGATAAATATTATTATGGTAGATCAGTAGTATATTTAGGAATTTTTCATGGGGAGGGGTCCATTTAATTTTACAAACATATTTAAGTAGGTGACTCTACCCTCTCCCCCTTACTCCCTAGCATAACACTTTAAATAAATTAAATTTATTACAATGCATTAACATAAAACCGTTTTGATATTTATACTTATTTATTTTTTAATATATGAAACAACATTTATGAAACTAAATCCAATTTTTTAGGACTTAATGCCAATTTATTAATGATTTTATCAACATCTTAATTTATATCCCAATATATATATATACATCATTGCTAGTCCATTTAGTCTCGTCTACATAATAATAAAATTAAAAATACTGTTAAAAGTTATATTTTTATACATTAGATATTAAATATATCCAAAATAATCAAAGGATTACTTCAATCATTGTTGATCAGAGATATGTTTTCAAGGTTGAAAAATATCTTTCAGGTGTTGTTGTTGACACTATTCAAAATTCAAAAATATATAGTAGGAAAATCAGATTTTGGGCAACTGAAAAGCACTACTAATCCACTTTTGATGTTAACATCTTGACTGGCTATTTTCATTTTCCGTATTTTTAATTTAACAGAAGCATAATATTCAACTGATGGTAAATAATACTCAACCAAATTTTTAAATGATAACCCTTCTATATCTATAAATGTGGAACTAAATAAACATTCAAACACTATAAAATATTCTCATAATATTTAATTCCAATTTTTATACTAACATAGTTAAATCAAAAGTTATCCCTTCAAAAACTGGGTTCATTTAAAAATCGAGTTGTTAGTTAATAAAATTGTCAATAAATAGCATAAAGACTGTCACTCTATAATAATCTTCTACAGAAGAGACTTAAGGATTCGCTCTAATTGCTGGTTTTCTTGCTGTGTGTTTTTTTGGGTATTTCTATACCAATAAAATTGATAAATTCTATTAAAATATCAGATTTTGTATACTCAAACATTATTTATTTTAATTTTTCTAATTTATAGACAAAAATAATAAGAATTAAAAAAATAAATAAATTGTAGGTATTTATGGGGCTTATAAAGAGGGTCCGTGTCGGATGGACCCCCTCAACGTAAATATACCACTGTTATTTACCATACAATTATTAATATTCACAACAGAAATATTATAATGAAGAGATAATTTATTGAATAAAACTATCACTTACACTTATATATATTGCTATGTAGAATTAGATTATCTGGAGCTAATTTGTTTAGAATGTTGCATGTTAATTATTAGTTTTTTCCTTTTAACATCAATAAATAATGTATAATTCAATTTTAACTTTGTTACTTAAAATTATGTATCATTTTTATTTAGCATATGTGTGAGTTAGCATGGGAGCATTCACCTGATGTCAGACAAATTGACCTAGATGTGAATCGTACATACCGAGAACACATTAATTTTCGTAAACGGTACAATCTTAAACAACGAGAATTATTCAACATTCTATCGGCCTATAGTATTTATAATTTAGATATTGGTTATACTCAAGGGATGTCACAAATTGCTGCTTTATTATTAATGTATTTAACTGAAGACGAAGCTTTCTGGGCTTTATCTACTCTAATTTCTGATAACAAGTATAATATGCATGGTAAGTTAAATTATGATAATTCTAGAATTTAAAATTTCTATACATACTTATTAAAATATTTTAACTAACTTTTTTTTTTTTAAATATCTTAGGTTTTTTTATCCCAGGCTTTCCTAAATTAATAAGATTTCAAGATCATCATGATAAAGTAATGAATAAACTATTACCAAAATTGAAAAGACATTTGGATAAAAATGGAGTTGAAACTGGATTATACACTCTAAAATGGTTTTTTCAATGTTTTTTGGATAGAGTAAGTTTACTAGTAAAATTTATAATAAATAATGTTATTATATCCTATAAATAATTAATTATGCATTTCATTTTATGCTTAGATACCATTTAAATTAACATTGAGAGTATGGGATATATTTTTATTGGAAGGTGACAAAATATTATCTGCTATGGCGTATTGCTTACTAAAATTACATCGTAAACAACTGTATACTTTAGGAATGGATGATATACTTAATTTTTTACAAGTAAGTTACAAGTTATCCATTATATCATGTTTGATCTAAAATATGTTTGCAAGTTTCAAATAACAAAAACCCCTTATATTTTTAGAATAATAGGGTATGTATTTATGTTAATTTTAATTTTGACATTGTAACTTAAATATTTGTTAACAATATTTTTTGGATTGAATCAATTAACTGAGTTAAATCAGTTTATAATTATTTTATTTATACATTGACTAATTAATTATTTTATTTTATAGAAAATTTATAAGTATTTAATTTAATTTAATTATATGTCTATTATTTTATAGTTAAATATTTAATATTATGCATATAATTTATTAATATGCATAAAAATACTATCGTTTTCATAATTATCAATAATTTATTAAATCTGTATATTATTTTTAAATCTATTTCTCAAAAGTTAAATTAAATGTGATTATTATTTAGGTGAAATTAGAACAAAATTATCAGCATTCAGCAGATCATACTATTGAAAAACTTCAAGAATGTCTTACCGAGTTGAAGAAAAATAAACTTGATAATGCTGGACCACCATCTCCAAATGAACAGTTGAAAAGAGAACTAGGAATATTTAATCCTGATGATATCCCACTTAGGAAGGTAATTAAAAAAGCAATTATTATAAATAAAAAGGTCAAATTAAAATTTTTTAATAGTATAAAAGTAATTCTATAATATTATTATTGATAAAATAAAATTTTAAAAAGGCATATAGTGTTTTTATTATTTTTTGATAATTTTAAATAGAAAATATTACAGTTTTTAATATATAACAATTAATCAAACTATAATATTTAAAAAAATAGTAAAATATTAGCGGTGTTGTTATAGGTGAAGTTGAAAACTATAAATATTTAGGATCATTTGTACAAAAAGACAGGGGCCTTTGCATGGATGTATAACTAGGATTAAGTGCGGTTAGATGAAATGGAGAAAAATGTCGGGTATTTTATGTATTAAGTGAATTCCAATTAGCTTGAAAGTTAAATTTTATGGATTGTGGTGAAACGAAAAGTGCTATATGGTTCAGAGTGTTGGGTGATTGATAGGAGAATAGAACAATGTATGAGTGTTGCAGAAATGAGAATGCTTTGATAGATGAGTGAAGTAAAAAAGATAATAGAATAAGGAACGATTATGTGATATAACCAGATGAGATAAAATTGACTGATATCGTTTGAGCATGTATTGAGAGGAGAGGAAACAAAAGCAGTAAGAGTGGTTATAAAAATGAATGATGAAAAGAAAAGAGGAAGATAGTTAAATTAAAAAAAAAATGATGGTTGGTAAGATTGAGAATGATATGAGAATTGTTGATGTAGGTGAGATGTAGAAAATCAAGACAAGTGGAGGTTTAGGACAAAGGTTTTCGATCCCTATAGTTGAAAGAAAGACGAGAGAAGAAGAAGAATAAAATAATAAACTATAAAATAAAATTATGAAATGGTTAATATTATTAACATTTTGTTTATATTAAACCAATTTTTTTTTATGTGTTTTTTTGTAGAAATAAATAAATTATTAGTCTAAAGTATTATTATTTTGTAAAGTGCGATTAGTTTTGAATTTTGAATTTGAAATCGGTCTTAGTTTACAAATATATTAATACTTCAGACTAATAATTTATTTTGGTTTTTTTTTTTTTTTTATATTTAAACTATTTGTATATTATAATATTTGTTAGTATATAAATAAAATTAATAACCTTTTACTTTAATATTTTAATTTTTGAGTACACAAAAAGAAGTAAATTAAAGCTAAGAATCAATATTATTAGTTATAGCTTATAATTGAAAATCATTATTTTTTCTTCCTTGTATTAGTATTCAACTCTAATAATATTCTATAGTTATAAATTTAATAATATATTATCCATATTCATTACAAGATAATATTTCTTTCTATTCTAAAATATATTTTGAAAACTTGAAAAAATGTATGTATAAATAAACCATTTATTTTTTAGCCTCAAATTAATGGAGTGGAAAAAATTAGAAAACCCATAAACAATGACCGAATTAGTAGTTCACCCGATCAGGATTCTCAATGCCAAGGTGAGTGGACTAGATTGTGAACACATGCCTGATGATAAATTAAATTGGTGGCTATAGAAACTAGTCTTCTATCTCATTTTAAAGCACATTCATAATATAATTTATGCATTTATTATCTTAATTATAATATATTTAGAGAAAAAAAAACTACTGCCTTGCAAATTTTTATTTATCTATTTATTAAACATTCTATATAAAATGACATCAATATGTTGTGATATAGTTATTTAGTTATAGACATTTTTAAGTTATTTTTTTTATCATTTTATTTTGAAAATTATATATATTTTGTTAAATACTACATATAGTATTTGTTATTTTTAGTTTAAAATTATTATACTTTATATTGAAATAAATTTTGTATACAATATTTTTTTAGCCTTATTCAATTAAAGTTTATTTATTTTAAATAATCTGAAAAATTTCAGAATTTTGTTGTTCCTTAGAATACATTTGAAAATTATGTTCACCAATAGCTTTAAAGTATTTATATTATACCTACAAATGAAGAAATCCAAAATCTGAAGTAAAAAGTCATATTTATGTTGAGACAAAAATGTTACTGTTATTTGTTGTTAATTAATAAAAATATACAACATATAAGTTTTCTATACCTATTCTGTGGGTTCTTGGTGATATCCATTTCCTATAAATGTATGAATAAATCACTACTCTTGATTTTTATTTTCTCACCGTTTTATGAAAAATAGTATTTTTCAATTATCAGTTGTGTTCTAAGTGTGTTGTGTACTTATTATTGACTATCATATTTAATCCTCTTAGTAGTTAATTTGAACAATAGTTTTAAGGTAATACAATTTTGTTTATGTGCAATATATTCATATAATTTATAGACTTCTGAAGAAATTAAACTTTTATATAAATTATATTTGCACAATAATTTGTTTTAATTAGTAGATATGTTTGCCAGTTGTAGTCAATAATCATGTTAATAAGTGAAAAAAATTACTAATTATTATTGTAATTTCATTGGTCTTATACAAGGTAAGACAAATTAAAAAATCTGTTTTTAAATTTGTTCTTTAAGTAACTAAAAATTGTATACTCTTACTAATAAAAGATTAAATCAAAAACTAATCACTAACAAATAAATCATATTGTAATATTGATCGTTGATAAGAATTATTTTAGTTTATATTTATAATGCATTTTTTATGATAATTTTCTAGGTTCAATAACCACAAATGGTAAAAATAGTATGGATGATGTAAGTTCAATTGTTGGAGATGGTTCTAGGCGTTCATTACTAGATACTAGTGTAACTTCAGCAGCTACCACAACTGTGTCTCCGCAAAGTATACAAAATTATGATGCCGGATCAGATGTTACATGCGTTAGTCCTCAACCTGACGTACTACGTATTTATGTGCCATATGATACTTCAACAAAAAAATCTCCTACTTCTATTTCTAACAAAATAACAACAATTGAGGTGGTGGATGAAATGGTTACCCCTACTGTAGAAACAGACGGTATGTTTAAAGTGGTGTCTACTATTAACTAATAATTAATTGTACTAGAATATATTAGACATACTAATTTGGCTGTGATTGAATACGGCTGGTGTTTACTCAGTTACTACCAGCAGTACCATTTTCCATGTAAATTAGTTTATAATTTTTACAATTTTGTTTATGGTATACAATATTTTTTTAATCAAGACTTCTTAGTAAAATTAGCATTATCCCTTACACATATTTTAATTAGATGTAATTATATGTAAGAGAAAATATTATGTAATAATAAGTATCATGTAACACGAGTCATTAAATATAAATAACTTAGTATTGATTTGATGCAGCGCCTATATTAATAGCTGTTAATTAATTTTAGGTTTTTAATACTATTTTTATTTGTTTAAAAAAAAAAAAAAAAGACAATTCCTAATACATTACACCATTAAAATATATTTTTTTTTAATTTTAATAATTATATATAATTTAAGTGCCTATCTTATGTGTTGTATTTTTTTTTTTTTTTTAGAAACTAAATTAGCTTATGAGTAGTTCTACTCAAAAATATTTTATATAATTTTTGCAATAACAATATCTTGTTTTAATTGTTCATATTTATAATTTTAACAGAGTACTCAACTTATATAATTCTTTTGACTTTGTTTAAATTAAAAATGTTATTCCAATTTATATATCCCTAGGAATGATTTGTGTTTTAAAAATTATTATATAAAGTAAAACTTATAGTAAATTTAGTATAACCTAAATTTTGAAATATTTAATGAGTAAAATGATTGAACTTTAAGCTCAAATTATACATATGTTTAAATATTAGTATTACCATTTATTTAAATTAAATTTGATTCCATAATTTATAATAATTTAAACTAAATAAGTATATTTTTAGACTGCAGATAAGTCCAGTAACCAATCATTAATATCAGTATTAAAGTAATAAGAATGTTATACTCATTAATTAATTAGTGTTATAATAAAATGGTTCGGTAAAAGTTTATTTTTAAGATAAAATTAATTATTTACAATTATTTCTTTTAAGTACTTCACATAATTTGTTAGAAATAAAATATTCAATGAGTCTATACTATGTAACTGAAAGCTCTCTCAATAAGACTAATTTCATTCCAGACTTTTTTTATATTTTGCACAAATGAACAAAATGTATGTTATTTAACTAGAACTATAAATTAAAATTTATAATTTAAGTATAAAATGTATGAAAAAAAAATACTAAATTATTATTTATTTTATCAACAAAAAAGTTAACAATTTTTTATATTTTAATTGATTATTGCTTGTAGATCTTAAAAATTAATGAATTATATATTTTTATTATTATATATCATAATTAACTACTTTTGCATTACTATAAAGTTGTATTTTATGTAATTAAATGTTATTCAAAAATATCTAATACCTCTTACATATATTAAATTGTTAGAATATGTTTTTTATTTTTGACATATTAGAAAATAGTTATTATAGATTTAGTCTTAACTATTTGTTATGATTGGGAAAGTTGCAACTTGAACATTAATATTTATTATTTAGTATTATATTAAAAATTAATTGCAGTAAATATTATTAATACTACTTCATTTTAAATAGTCTTCTAAATTAATTAAGTGCGAGACTGTGAATGAGTACAATAGATTTATTTAAAAATGAATTTGTTATTTATATGTAAAAAAAAAAAGATAAAATATATATGTAAAACATAAATCATTAACTAATTTTAATTGAGAAACATTGTATTATAGTTATTTAACCTCATTTAAATTGATCAATTATCAAAGCTATTTTTTTTTACACTTAATAAATGAAAATTTGTTACACTAATGACGATGGATGGAGTAGGTGTTTGTAAAAGTTTATATCAAATCTAACAGTTTTTTTTAAGATTTGTTTATTAAAATAACATTGAAAATACAAGAAGTTATTTAAAACTTAATTAGTTTAGTTATATGATAATCATTTAGATTTTTTGGTTTCCTAAAAAATATAGAAATTGCAATTTAATTTTATCACTCATTAGTGTAACAAAATTTGTATTTGTTTATATTAATGAATAATTTGAAAAATTTGTATTGTTACTATTTTCTGTAACAAAATAATAATATATCCTTTATAACAATGTTATAAAACAAACCAATATTATTTATATAAAAAATAGATTTAGTATTATGTTGGTTTGTTGTCATTTTTTGTTTAAGAAATAAAAATAATGATTCAAGACATTTGTTATTGCTATTTAATATTTATATCATTATAAACATTTAATAGTAGGCTCATTAAAATCTGTTTCTATGACTAATTAGGAAAAGATTTAATCAAAGAGATTTGGTCCAGACTAATTTTTCTATCAAAATATACCTATATATTTTACCAATTATACTGACGTACCCAATGTTTGGATAAGACTCTTACAAACATACTTGTTTTCCTCATGAAGTTTACTTTAAAACAACTTTCTCAATTTTTTTAGTTAATATTCTTAAACTGCGTTGAGATGCATGCAGAGAAACCAGGCAAATATTATATCTTTATGCAGACAAATTCTGCGTTTGGGTCCTATAAGTATTTTGTAAATAGATGAAAATGAAAATATCACAAATAGTAGTATCTTATTTTTATATCATTTATGGTACAACTGAAGATATAAAGTAGTAATTATATTATAGTTTTAATATAAGTAATTCGAAATTGAGAGGAATAACAAGTTCTGGACAGATTTAGAAGCAAAATTAATAACAATTTTAAAAAAATGTATTAACAGTAATAATTGATTCGCGGGTCTTAAATTTTTTTTAAAACATAAAAAGTAATTAAATTTTTTAATTTATTATGGTTAATGACGTAGGCAAGCAATAATGTAATAAAATATCTATGTGTTTATGAGCTTCTTCAGTAAGAAAAACTGGTTCTACCACCTCTGTGATTAGCAGAACGGTGATTAGCGGCACAGCCCGACGCGGCATAACAGAATCAGAGAGGGGTAATTACACATACTAGTGATATTCACGCATATATATGATGAATTGCCAATATTTAACTCCTTAAAAACTACCCAGATCAAAAACTATATGGATAGCTAATTTAACTGTTGTTTAATGCAAAAATATAGTTTTGGTTATAAATATTATTTTATTACTACGGTGGTATTTAGGTATCATAATTTAAAGTAATTAAGAAAAGTAAGTGTAAGAATTATATGTTTAAATTGAGTCTTAAAATGTCTTTAAACAATAAATAAATTTGTCAAAAAAGGCATTTAATCACAAAAAATTAATTACAAAATTGGAAACTATAAGATTAATAGAAATATTAGCTTTATACATACTAATTTAGAAAATTAAAAAAAAAAAAACAATTAATATTCTAGTGTCTATTCCATATTTCATTTTTGTGGTGTAATACTAATTATAGTATTAAAAGTACCAGAGAATATTCAATAAAATATTACACAGTACAAAAAATCTAATTGAAGGTGTTATTAAACCAAACAATGAAAATAAAATTAAGAACATTTTTAAATAAATACTCACATACAGTATCTAACTGTAATTAATGAGTTGATAGGTAATTTACAAAAATGGAAATTTAATAAATCACTTACAAACCCACAACAAAAATTTAAAATATAAGTTGAGTGTGTGTATATATACATATATATATATATATATATATGTAAATTATAATATTTTATAATATGATGACGATAGTATGTAATTATTTCAAATGGTCAGACAATTTCTCAATTCTATACTATTTACTCAAAATTAATCTACTTTACAATTACATTGAATCGGAGAAAAATCTGTTCAACAATTGATGGGCAGCAAATGTTTAAAATATCCTATAGCTAAGTTCTAAATTACATATAAATGAAGTTGAATCTGAAAAATAAATATAAAAGAGTTTAATAAAAACAAAATTGTGAATGTAATTTAGAAATTTTACCTTCCAAGAGCTTGAGGCAATGAGGAAATAATTGATCCATATCCTTGTGAGTTATCAAACAGCTCAAACAAAGGGGCTGCCACCAATTTGTAATTTTTCGGCACAGCAAACAATGCTAAAGAACAATTAAATTATCATATCATTTAAAAACAGAAAGTTTTATTATATTATCTTGTTGAATTCACAAACAAATCAATTGATTTAATATAAATTGTACACTTTAATATGAATAAACAAATTATACCTATACATAACAATATACATTGATTTTTAATGTTTTTTAAAAACAGTTGTAATCAGAACAAATGTACATAATAACATTAAGGATAATTAGTGAATATTGAGTGACAACTTTGTACAACAGAACTTAAATTGTATGTTAAAATGGAAATTTTTGAAATAATAAAATGAAATGCTTAAAAATAATATAACATTGGAAATAATACATTATTTAAACTGCCAATCAATTTACTAAATTAATATACTTGCTTATGGTATTTTAACAAACATACATGCCCACATTGGGTAGATAAAAAAATATAAATGTTTTCATTTTATCAATATTTTGACGATCATATATAACTTTGAAAAAAATACTATTTAATTTAAATTGAAAAATAATTTATTTAGGTAAATAATCTTAAACGTAATAATTTCATTTAAAACATTACAAATGTTAAATACATAATTAGATATGTTAAATAATGTAATGACAAAATAAACCCCCAATAAATTATTAGTACATCAATATTTATACATATTAATTTTTGTTTAAACACTACTCTTTACTTATTAATTATTTATCATTTTTAACATATAGTTCGTAAAGGGAAATTAGAACATTATATAAATAGTTTAATTGAAACAAAAATAATAAGTTAACTTCTAAGACAAAATGTCAAAACGAGATACACAATAATAATAAAATCGTTAGTATTTTTTTTCATCAGAAACTAATAACATGCTTTCTTAACGTTCTAAATGGAATATTCTATCTATACATAATAATGTGACATACTCTTAACTTCTCGGGGCCCGAGAAGTTAACAATACTAAAACTTAGTGTTTATGTTTATTAGTAATAATATAAATTTCCTGTTTTATATAATCAAAATGATAGGTTCAAGATAATTGTCAAAATTACTATTGAAACATTATCTTATAAAATTAAAAAATCATTCTGACTAAGTCTTATATTTAATACAAATTTAAGTTATAGAACAATTATTTTTAATTTAAAATATTAGTTTGATTAAATTGCCATTTTATACATTTGATGTATATAAAAAATAAAAAAATACTATGATTATTTAGTAAAATTTTAAATTCAATCATTAAGTTTCTATTAAAAGTTTTAATTTGGTATAACTTACTAATAATAAACAAAAACATCAAATTAGTATATCAAAATCTCTTAGACATTGATTATAAAAAGTTCAGAAATGGAAAATTTTCTTTGCAAATGTTTAATATTCATATAACCAGAAGAATGTTAACAAATTCTCAAACCAAGTTAACCCACCAACAATTAAATAAGTATACAAAAAAAAATTACAGGGTGTCAATACAGAATTTATTTATCATAATGGAAGAGCATTAAATAAAATATTTGTTTACATTTAAAGCAAAGTGATATGTTTTTGAAGAATATTAATATTTATAACACAAATTATTTTCTTTTTGATTATAATTTAATAAAAATAGTTTTCATTATAATTTAAATACAAACGAACAACAAATATTTATAATTAAATGTTAATTATTTGACACTCTGTATTTCAAGAAAAAATTTAAATCCTTGAGAATTAAAGAATTAACTTTAAGTGTTTTAATGTATTTCAATAATATAAACAGAATAGAAATAACATGTACAATGGATATATCTCAATCAGAAACTGCAAATAATCATTTACTAAAATGAATTAGTCTTAAAATTAATAAAACCCTTTCTTCGTATATTGTTTAAGCCAATTTAAAATCTGTAGTATACACCACAGTGATTAGAACAATAATCATATAAGGAAACCCTATCATGAATTTTTCCTAGACAATTTTTATAAAAAAAAATACATTTCTTGTATGTGAAGTTTTACAATCAACCAGGATGATCCTTTCTGAACCAGCAAATCATGTTGCCATTGCAAACTGTGAAATATAAAATAATATAATGTAATTTAATACACATCTTAAGTGATGTAACATACACGTAAGTTATAAATAACAAATGTATAAATTTAACTTCAGAGCATGTTAATGATAATTATGACCTAAAACAAATTTTTTTAGAAATAAAACCTTTTGGGAAAATAAAAATAATAAACCTTTTAGTTATTTTAGCCTTAGAAATACTAATTAATATAGTTAATTAGTTTTAATAACTATAGTTGTACTCACAAATATTGAACTTTGGATTCCTAATATTTTACCTTACCTTTATCAGGTAACTGAACTAAGAAAAGTCTTTTATGTTCTTTAGGTTTAGTTATGTGAGGTGGTATATACGGATATGTTGGAGGTTCAAAGTTAGGTCTCCACCAGTTTCCAATTGTGTCTTCAACAGTCCATTCTGGTTGAACACCATCCTGTCTACCAAGAGTCTGGAAAAATACAATTGAAAATACAAATAGAAAAAGTATTTTTAATTAATTTTAAGTATAAATAATTTGAATTCAGTCATATTAATCAATATAATTACTTCAGTTAGTAATCGTTTGAGCCCTTCAACTTCATCTTCTGCAGGGTTTAGTTCTCCACCTGGCCTGATAAAAAATTTAAACTACAATTATAATTGATACTATTAAAGTAAATATGTCATAATTATGAAATTTATAAATTAAATATAAATTTTAGAGTGTTATTAATTATTCAAATTAATTATTAATTATTCCCTTAATCAAATATATTCCAACTACTATTTTCATTAAACAAATAAATATAAAATGCATATTTGAAGGAATTTGTAGCTATTAACACCCAGACTTCCAATTAATTATAAATTTAAAATATAATAATACATTTATTTTAACTTACAGTTTAAAAAATGTTGTGCCCAATTGCAACAGTAATACATGAGGTAATCCATGTTTATGAACAATTAAAACACCTTCTACACTACGGCGCATGCCAATTTTTTCAAATTCATCACGCATTCGTTGAAATCTTGCTGGTACAGATGGATCTTTTTCAAATAAAGGTTCTTTTGTACCAAATTTATAATTTGAAAGAGGATACCTAAAATAAAAATAATATTAGTGCATTAGTATGTACAATAGAAATTTCAATAGAAAATTCAAATGTTCAAAATAAAGTAAGTTGTTTTGATAGTTTTTTTTTTTTTTTTTTTAATAGAGAAAGAAAAGCTTGAAATCTCCAGATTTAATAAATCTATGGATAGTATTTTAATTTAATAATTGTAGATAATTTCCAAACCAAAGATTGGGGGAGAGGAGGGACAACTTTTCTACCTAGAAAGAACTGTTCATTACCAAGATTCTAACAAAATAACACTATGGAACAAGTAAACTAGTTCAACCCGGCCACTTAGTCCACTTAGTAATTTAAAATAAATATTAACACAACATTATTTTTTATAATATAATCTGTAGTATAATAACAAAGTATAATAAATTCAAAAATTGAATACACATGTACTTTATTTGTTTTAAAATATTTACATTTATATTTTATTTTTAATAACTAAGTAAAAATATACGGTAGAAACTCAATTAACTGTCACATCAGCAATAAACGTATATATTTTACAACTTGGATTTTCAGAAAAAATAATATACATATACACTATATATTATATACCATATTAAACACTACTAGACAGAAACTAATAATTTTAAACAAAATAATCTGTTATTTTTGTTGGTTTTTTTATTTACACTTGAGTTTTTTTCTTATTATAATTAATAAGAAGTTTTTCTTTATAACTGTAATATTTTGTATATTATGTAGCCTTAAAACCGCAATACTCTTAAGTCAATGATTAAATTAAATTAAAAATAATTAATTCTGTTCATTCACGTCGTATTTATTGCATATTTTGGATATTAGAAAAAAATTATATACACCTGATAGTCGCTGCAACAAGTTTATCGCGATAGCAATAGCAATGATGGATAACTGAGAATGACAGTTGATGGAGTTTCTACTGTATTTTAAATACTTAAAAGCAATATAAATAATGTAATAACATATGCATATATTAAGTTCTTAACTATTGAAAAATCAGTTAACAATTTATATAAAAAAATTCAATAACCAGTCAATATATACATTATTTTGTAAAGGCATGTCTAGTTATAATAAATCTTAAAATATAAAATATTGTTACAGACATACATAAATGTAGGCCTTTACGAATATCACAACACGGGGAGAGACCACATAAATAATGTAAAGAGCATTAGAGTAACTCTTATTATAAACACCACATATAGATATTAGGTATTATAATTGCAATGATCAATACACTAGGATGCATGTCAAATATTAACATGCAAATATAAGTAACAACAAGTTAACATCATTAAATATAAAAGACATGTGAAGGGTAGTCATGCGAAAGATAATTGAGAAGCCAACCATTCAAATATAGAATAGGTAATCAAAATTAGAAATCCATATACTTTTCGAACTAGATACAAATATCAAATGTATAAGTTACTTAAAACATAACTCAAACCATATCCGTCAAGTGAACACAAACAGGGTATATATATAAGGTAGTCAAGAGCAAACCAATATGTGTTTAATATGTATTAGTCCAATTGTAGCATCTTCATATCAATAAACTTAATAAATTAAATGTTTGGATTTAAAATTATTTTACAACTAATACTTTAAACTTATATTGTAATGAGCAGTTATTAAGGTTAAAGTTGAGTTATTATTTAATACATCCTTCACATTATTCAACACCACAACAGTTGAACTGAAGGGCACACAACAATATCAAGACTTGTTATTACAATAGTCTTAAAAAATGATAAAACAAAATTAATATTAATAAATAATATGAAAAATGATAAACTGTTAATTTTTATAACAATAAATATTCAGTTATTAAATTCAAAATGTCAATATACTGTTCTACAAGAGACTACACTATGCCACTAACCAAAGCTAGTTAGGTCCTATGCACTCAATTCGCTAATCAGCACAACTTTAAGTCATATACATGACTATAAACAAAACAATAAAAAATTAACAAAAATTAAAATATAATAAAACAATAAGGTATAATTTAGTTTTATACTATTATGGTCAACAAATATAATAATAAGTGGTCATTAAACATGTTTAATAAAAACAAACAAGGTGTAGTCTTCACCATGTAAGATATACTTAAGATATATTTAAGATAAGTTTATATAAACTATATGTTCATAATATAAACAAATAAGAATGTGTTAATTATAAAAAAAATTTGAATTACAGTAGAACTTTGATGACTAATTTAATTTTAATTTTTTCTTATTGACATACATTTTTATTGATTTTTTTGACAGATATAATTATTACAAAAATGTATTTATTTATAAATTATTTACTTCTATGACATACCACATACTACATGCCTCCTTACCTAAAATTTACAATAACCCTCTCAATATAAAAAGTCTGAAAAAACACATTATAAAGATCAGGCACGTATCCAGGATCAATTTTCGGGAGGGGGTTTAAAATATTTTTAATACATGAACTGAAAATACATATAACATAATATATAGGTATAATAATAATAATAATGTATAAGTACATCATTTGTCATTTTCTAAAACAGATAACGTGTAATAACTAGAGGGAAATTTACAAATACTTAAAATAAACTATAGTTGTACAATTATACACTTATATATAAAGACGTGTTTCGTTAGTTTTTGTTATATTATAAATATATACCTAATTTAAAAATTTCGGGGGGGTTTGAACCCCTGATAGAGATTAGTTCACTACAAGTGACAAAATGTTAAATAATGATTGATTTGTCTAGCAATACCTAGAACTATTGTGAGGGAATGGAAATACGAATATTGTAGTTGACAAAATAATTGTTACTTAATCAAGGAAATAATGATAAATAGATTTTCAATCTAGAGTTTAATAAAATACAAATGTACATTATTGAAATCTTACTCCAGGACAATTGACTGCCCCAAAACACATAATTGGGACACCAGGACGCCATATTAAAATCCAATACTATGCCACCAAACCAGGACGTATAGTAACCCTATGTTAATGGAAATTCTTTATTTATCAAATTCTAATTTATTTTTTATTTATTTAATATTACATTTTATATTATATAAAAGCATTTTGTTATGTTTTAAAATTATCAAAGCATGACAAATTAAATAATCATTCTTTGGTTATTGCAGTTTAAAACTTAAATAGTTTAACTTTAAATTTTTTTTTTGAATCTACGGCATCAAGGAAATCAACATTTTCCTACTTGTAGAAGTTCTAAGAATAACAATTACTACCATAAATCTATTTACAATAAAGTCTACACAATGTTTATTAAATTAATAATATTAATCATCTTTGAGCTAAGAAGAATATATTGCTTACTATTTACTATGCCAATAACTTAACTTTAGATATATACAAATTTTTAGAACTATGAGCACGGTTAATCAAGGTTCTACTGTATTGAATTATACCATTACTATTTAAAACTTGATAAAAAGTTATATTGAACAATTCATGGAAATTATGTTTGATAGGATGATTCTGCTACAGATATTAAAAATTAATAACAATAAATTGTTGTATGTAAAACTATACTATTAATTTCAACAATGGGTAAATAAAATTACTGTGAAATAATAATAACAAATATTGCAACAAAAAAACGAAGTATTCCACTTTTCTAGTTAAAATGAATACTTACAAATTAATGTGTCTATTTAAGGACGGGCACGTTGATGACTTAACTGGTGCAGTGCGCCTAGGCCACCCGGTGCCCGGAGAAGATTGCACATTATTTTGTACCGGTTGGCTAGTGCTCAACGCCATTTCTGATACTGTGTTGGACGACAGCTTGACGATTCGATAATAACCACAAAGAATTAAAAATGTTAGTCAGCATTAAATATTAACGCATTGTTTTATACGAATATTATTATTAAACTGGTAAATACTATGTCTAGTGTTAAAACACAACTCATCCATACGAGTCACAGATAGAACACAACAGCGTCTCATGTACGAAACAAATTCAAAATGGCGGAATGTGTTTGTTTTCATGCGATGAACATGATCATAGCGACGATTTAGCCGGGGATTGTTTGACAACCACATGTCAAAATGTTTTATGATAATACAGTGCTAATTTTAGTGATAACAATTATTCTAACATTAATATATACGTAAAGTCCATGGTCTTAAAAATATAGAGATTAGATGTTGAAGAACCTGAAAAGATCTAAAGATCTTAGATCGGCTACTCATGAATCGCGTCCCGAAATAAAAAAATTGATAAGCGAGTTCACGAATTGCGTCCGGCCTTATCTAATTTACTACATGAATTGCGTCCGAGTTCGTATAAACGATTACATGTACGATGAACGTGCTTTAATGCATATTATAATTTTAATTTGGCCGTTAATTTAAATGAAAGGATGCAAGTTTCATTTAGGTCAAAGTTGGTGGAGGAAAATACAAACGGTTGGTTTAAGTCAAGAATACAAAAAAAAATTCAGATATCAGTATTTTTTTAAAATATTTTTTTGGTCTTCCATTTATAAAATCAGATGAAGTGAAGGATTGTTTACGGATAATATTGTATCAATTTCACCCGAAGATGAAAAAGTACAGCAATTTTCTGATTATATATCAGTTTTTTAATTTTTTAATTATAACTTTCTTTACTACTGTTTATTTTAATTATTATATTATATTCCTATAATTTAAACCTTTACATTTCATTTTACTTACATATAATTGCATAACAACGATAAAAATTAATTTTTTTAAACCACCGATAGTCATAATTTGCTATCGACAGTCCTAAGTCTGTATGAAATGGGAAGGAAAATAATGTTTTTACGTTGGAACGCAATTCTCGTTAAATATCTTTGGGACGCAATTCATATGCAGCGCTAAGATCGTGTTTAAGTTCACCACGATTTAAGATAATTAACAAAAATATTATATTTTATATTTATATACATACACAGTATTTTACAGTACACTGAATTTTGTCAGCGTTACAATTAAATAACTCATTTTCAGTCAGTGCTATATATAATATAACTATATAATATATGTATACAAGTCGCACATTGATATTTCAATTCATAGTCCATAATATATTTTAATCAATTTTGGAATATTTCCTAACGATATTTTCACGAAATGCATTATTGTAGTTATCATTTTTCAATCGTCAATCATCGATGAAACAAGTACGTATTTATACTGTGTTGTTTTTATAAATTGTTGATTTACATAAAATTTATTTTATTTCTTAACAATTTTTTTTTAAATTTATTTCGTATCACTTATATGAATATGGATAATATATTGAATAAATCCAAGCCATCTCAATCAAAACGAATATATAATATGAATCAAAATAATCAACAAATTAAGCAGATGCTTGTGGACTCTGATGTGAGATGGAAATTATAATTTTTCCTATTATGGTAGCGAATATGAACTTAAAAATAATGAACAAGTGTCAGATGAGTTTGAAAGTGATAATGAGATAGTTAATAATTTATAAAGTATAAATACTCCATCAACAATGAATATTAATAATAGCGATGGAAGACATTGAAATGTTTTATTTTCCTTTCATATAAAAAAAAATAACGAATTGTTGGTTCCGATAGAAAGCAAACTTCATCCTATAGATTATTTTTTCATGCTTTTGGATGACAATTTTATAAAACTATTGGTCAATGAAAAGAATAATTATGCTCAAGTATAATTTTTACGTATTGGTAGTACACCACATTCTCGTATTTCAGAATGGAAACCAACAAATAAAGACGAAATGTTTACATTTATTGCCAAATTCACTCTTGTACGATAAAAATCAACAGATTAAATTACCATAGGTGGATATTTGGTCATTTCCGTGGGAGGGTTTAACATTTTTGTCTTATCCATTATCGTGAACAGATATTTTTTAAACGCTTCAACCTACTAACTAGTGGCTACTCTTACTTTATTCTAGTTGAGGTACCAATTATATATAGGTAATAGGAACATTAAAATATTAAATAGCTACTAATTTTTTTATTTTTACTGTATAAATCTATTCCTTAATCTCCTTTATTCCCTACAAAATATGGGTTTTCCCAATAATGATAGTCCGTAAATATTCTAGACCATTCTCGCATACCTACGAAATAAAATAAAAAATTTACAATTAGTTTGACGTCTGGTATGGTTTGATTATGTTCAGAGGAGGATTAAGCCCCCCTACCATTATCCGCCTATGTAAATGACTATTGAAAAACACATCACATTTTCAACTTTTTTTGTTTTTCAAATTATATAAGTCGTGATAAATTTTTAAATTTATTAAGATGTTTTTATTTTGTACCAAATATTGATACTAACAATCAAAACCAATCTGATGATCGCTTTTATAAAATTAGACCTTTAATTACATATTTTAATAACAAAATGAATACCATGTATTATCCTATTATAAAAGAACTCTCTATTGATGAGTATATGGTGTTATGGAGAGGCCGTCTTCAGTTTCGTCAGTACATTTAAAATAAGCGCCATAAATATAGAATTAAATTATACATGCCTACGGGAATCTAAGTCAAAATATCTAAAGACAAAAAATCCAAACCAAAATATCCAACGGTCAAAATATCCACGGACAAAATTTATTCGTTCTTCCGAAAATTAGTACATTACTTTCTAATACAACTAACTCAAATATCAAATTATTTAATCATAAAAAAACCTAAATTTTCTGAAAATATTAGCTTAAATATTAAATTATGAAAATTAGCTTATAAAATTAATTCAACCTATATACGTTGTATATAACTAAAAGTATAATAAATTACGTTGATCGTTATAATATCACAAAATATAGGGTGATTTTTTTTATCGTGAACCAGTTAATATCTCGGGAAGTATTAGGAATTTTAAAATACTTTCTGGGTTTTACTATTTTACACTGTGTTACAATTTTTATAATTTTAACTTTATCCCTTATTTGATAAAACACTACCAACTTTTGTTTTTCAAATGGCAATACCTATTTTCGATAGCGAAAATTTATAAATATACTGAAAAAAATAATTTTAACGTTTACAGAATTTAATTTCAGTAACCCGTTTGCGACTTATTACCGTTTAAATATTCGTTCAATTTACTGCTACTAGGCAATTTATCAAACCCAACAGTTAAAACCGGAAGTCAAAACGGAATGATATCTCAATTTAACAATAACCATAACGGTCATAATCGATAGTAACTGTGATATTATTGCTATTAACAAGTTATTTAAATAATTTGATACTAATTTTTAGAAAAACGGATAAATTTTGATATTTTGTCCTTAGATATTTTGACCGATTACCGCTTACGGAACCTCATGGATAGATATTAAAGTTTGCCGTTCATGTATGTGTACTTGATGACTTGGGAGGAAAATGCCATGCAACTAATATGGTTATAATGTGCGAAAAATTTAATATCGGCCATGCATTATATATAGACAATTTCTACAATAGTTTTCATTTAGCCTCCAAATTAACTGAAAAAAATCGTTTTATACTGGTATGTAAAAGGAAAAATAAATGAACTGAGTGGACAAACATTTTTTTTTAAAAAGGCCAAAATCTGGATTTTATGAAAAAATTAATTTAGAATTAAAAAGTGCTGAACATGCAATGTACAAAAATTTTTTACGTAAGTCATCATCTGATTTTGATTATTTATTGAGTAGTGTTGGTCCATTTATTGCAAAACAAAATACATGTATGAGAAATGCTGTTTCTGCTGGGGAACGTTTAGCAATAACTTTGCGTTATATAGCATCTGGTAAGATTTTTAGTTTTTAAATACCTTTTTATTTATCTGTTTATGTAATATCAAACTATCAGTTATCATGTATGTGTGAAACTATGTTCTAGAGTTATAAATATGGTTAGCCGACAACCAGATAAACAAGATACGATTTTGAAGCATTTACACAGTGGATAAGGTACTCTGACATTAGTTTGCCAGAACACAAAATTCCACTCTGGCAGTAACTCTGTTGCGTGTTTACACGCCTCTGGTTATAACTGGCAGCTCTGTAACTAGAATTCTGGCAATAAAACTAGCGTGTGCGAAAGCCTTTATGATTGGAAAGTGGAAAGATAAAAGTTTACTTATCTTTCCATTGAATTTAAAAATAATTTAATTCTTATGCATTTTACACACAGAGCTATTCAAAAAAAACTGTTATGTGATTGAAATTACTAATCAGTTACTAACGTATTGATAACTCGGGTCCATACACAAGGCTACTCATAACTTACCTACTTGTGATCGATATCTGTAGTTTGTTTTGTGTGACCATAGACGAAGAGCATATTTTATCGTCATCATTTTACTGCAATATTGGTATTGAGAGTGATTCTAAAAGATAACTGTAATCATGATAATGACTCAACGTAGACTAGTTTAGTGAATTGCATCAGTAGATTCTTTTGAATAGCTCTGTGTGTAGAAGGCACAAAAACAAACAGTAAAGGACAATTAAAACCTGAACCTATAAATTATAACCGCTTTATAAGTGGAATTGATCGGCAAACCTAAATCAGCTGTTATTTACAGGAAAAAAATCCGTTCGTATACATATAATACAAATGTTGTTGATGAATTAATTTTATTTATATTATGAATATCATGTTGGACATAACGTATTATTATACGATTATCGTTTATCTGTACTTAGTGAAATTTTGTCCAATCCAAAACCTAAATATTTTTCATTATCACATGCCAATGTTTTCCCAAAAATACACGATGTTGGAAAAAAAAGGAAGAGCTAACCGAAAAAGACGTCATCTATGTTATTCAAAATGGATAAGAAAAGATACTACATACTTTTTCCGAGTTGTCCGAAGCAGCTCAGTCTGTCATAAACCACGTTTCAAAAACTTCCATACTAAATAGTCTTAGTTTCCATTTTTTAAAATTATAATAACATTTTTACTTTTAGCTTTTGATTACTTTAATTTCATTGTAAGATAATAAATAACACAGCAATAGATTGGTATAATAGTTGTGGGTAATTTCTAGGCTTGTATTAACAAAAATTGCCACCAGACACAACATAAAATTTGCTGTCTCCCTTCCCAAAAAAAAAAAAAAAGAAAAAATATTTTACTTTATTGATATTACACAATTGTAGTAATAAATAGTTACATTAATATAAAATAAAACTCAGTAATAACCAATATATTATTTAAAACAATTTTTAAAATGACAAAACAACTTATACAATTTAGTTAACCATCCCTAGTAGAGCATATATGAGGAATCTACGGACTGGCATTATCACACACTCATTGAGATGTCATTATAGGACATAATGAAGTTACACACATAGATGCTTAGTCAAACAAACGATTGGATACGTGGGATTGCATTATAAATTGTTTTTTTCTATAATCTAAAATTATGAAATAAATATTTGCACCTCAAATTCATTATATTTAAAATTCGCATAACTTAAAGTGTGATAGTAGAAAGAAATTTTTTTTTCACTAACCGATTAAATAACTATTATTTTGTCAACAAATATTAACATTGTTTTCACGCTATTTCAGACATTTATTGGAAATAAAATATAAATCCCCTAATTTAAATATATATAAATATAAGTTAATTAATAACTTAAATAATTTGTTATTAAATCACAGTCTGATTAGTCTGAATATAAGAAATAAAATTACAAAGAGTACAGAAATATAGGCTTATTCTATATTTTAAATGTACATCCAATATATGGTACACAAATAAGCCACTGGCTCATATACACTGATCTAAACTAATATTTAATTGTTAGAATTAAGTGTTTAATACGGGATTTATAAACACACACACACACACACACACACACATATATATATATGTGTGTGTGTGTGTGTGTGTTATATAAACAGTACAAGTGCTTTGGGCAAAGTAAAAAAAAATAATAATAATAATAATAATAAAATTAATAAAGGATGAAAAACAACTTAAACAAATTTGTGTAATTGATTGATATACAAAAATAATAGATACACCTCCACTGAGAAAATAAACATATTGTTATTTACAGTCATGGATATAGATTTACATAATATTCTGGGGAATAACGTTAATATAAAATTATTTCTAATAAGTAATATTTATAACAAATTGTATATTTATAAATTTAATTTGAGTAAAATATAATTAAATGTAGGTCTATACACTGTCGTAATTATTACAGAACACAATTTTGAAACAACAGCAATAATATTCATATTTATAAAAATTAAAATAGGCGAATTATTAAATTCAAATAAATTTGTACTATCCGCCATTTTAATGACCTGAGAATACACATATCAAATTATAAATATTATGAGTTAACTAAACTGGGTAAGCAGATAACAACCCTGATATCTCCCATGTTCTTCAAAACTTAAAATCAAACCGCTTCATAATTATTATCACTTACACCTATAAGCAAAATTATATACACATTAATGATATTAACAAAGGTATTGGAATTTTACAATTATGGAGAAAAAATAAATAAAATATGTACCATTTTACTTAAGATATATTTATTGTACATAAGAAACTAGGACTACATGAAATAAGTCTTTTTTTTATATAGAATTATCTATCAAATTAACCATTTATTTTTAGAAAAATTTTGAAATAAAATTAATAGAAGTAAAAAAATTAAAAATACCAAAACTATAGATCCAATACACTATTTTTAATATGACAATTTTATAATTGTATTGAATTTAAAATTTTCTTACTTTGGCCTTTGCTGTAGTTGGAGTTGAACTTTGTTTTCCAGTAACTGGTTTATTACTATTACTGCTTTTAACAGATAAATTTTGTATCTTAGGTGGTTGAGGTATAATAGTAATTTCATCATTTATTTTTAATGGCTAAATAATGGTAAAATAGAGTATTAATAATACATAAAATACTATTATACTTTGATAATAATATAATAACTCACTAATTTGTAATAATATTAATTTAATATTAATTAAATATTGACTTATTGTAAATATACCTTTGGTGTAGTTGTTATAGAAGCTGATGAAGATGATGAAGCTACAGGTTGATTTGCAAGAGTTTTCTTGCTTGAGTTTTTGGCTACATTGCTATGGGCTGAATACACATGATTCTCAAATTGTTTATACATGCCAAATGTTGCAGTGCACACAGTACACTTGTATGATAAATGTGCTGGCTTCAATGACATGGAGTGATCACGGCTTACATGATTTAATAATTTCCATTGATACACTCGACCACAAACTGGGCATCTAATTCAAAAAAATTTAAAATTAATATTAGTAAAAAAAACCTTTAAACTTGAAAAATAAAATAAAAATCTTACCTTCCACCATCTTTTCCTTTATTAGCCGCCTCTTGCATACTAGATGTCACCAAACCATGTGATCCTAGTAAATGCCTTTCAAGACCTTGATCAGTAAAAAATCTAAACTGACATTTCTGACAGTTAAGTGGTGGTCGATTGTAGATCATTTTTGGATGAATTTTCACTTTATGAATCCACTGCATATGATTACGTAATTGTTCTAGGTCTTTAATGTAACCATCACATATTTCACATATTACAAAAGTTGGTTTATTGCTACTATTAGTTGAAGAGGATGATGACTGAGTTGATAGTTGGGACTTGTTTTTAGATAAGGTAGATACAAAAGCAGACTGTGTATTATTTGATGGAAACGATCGTGGAAGAGGTGTTATTGATATACTTGGCTGTTGAATAGATTTACTGTTTGAATTTTGCTAAAAAAAAATTTAAAAAATTAAAACTAGATACAAATATAAACTAATATTTACTTAAAGAAACAAGAAAAGAACAGACAAAATAATTAGAATAATCAGAAGGATGAGTTTAATCACTTGAGTGGATAGCATGAAGAATGAATAAACTATTTGTGGCTTAGAAATATATTACTTATAGAGAAAAGAACTTGTTGAGATCAATCAAGTATGTTGTCGAGAAAGATGTTGCAGAGGCAGTAAGAAATATCATGAATATGAATGAGAAAGAGAAGGTTGGATAGAATTATTTATTTGGTGACAAGAGAATGTTAAATCAAAGAATAAGGGCCATGAAATGTCAAAAGCTACAGGAAATTCATATTTTATATAAACACTTTAAACGGTTAACATTAGGAAATACAAAATTCAATACTTAAAAATGTATCATAATATTTTAAATATATCTTATTTAATAAGATTACCTGATATGTGTGATTGTTTATTGAATAAGGTGTAGGCACAATCATTGATTGATTAATTGGTTTAATACTTGTATTTTTAAGCAAAATTCCTATAAACAAAAGGTCAACAAAATATTAAATAATAGCCAATAAAAAAACAAAAAATAAGCTTTGTAACAATGCATTATGATTTCACAACACAGCACAATATTCAATTTAGAAGGAACAATAATTAAAAAATTAACTTGATAAAATCAACTTTATTAAGCCATAAATATTTTTTTTTCATTTGTTTTAAAAATGATGCTTTGATAAACCAGTAAACATAAAATATATAAGTATAAATCACTTTAAAATAAAAGCATAAATATATAAATGAGATACACCTATAATATGTGCATGAATATGTCTTACAGAGGATCCAACTATTCAGTGTAATTTCATAAAAAATACTGGTTTTTTTGTTTTGTTTTAAAGAGAAGAATATTAACTGTAATTAAGTGTTTTTTTTATTTTCACTATCATAAATGTATTGAACGTTATTTAAATGTATTTGTTTATTTACAAATTAATGAAATAAGCTTTCAAAAAATAAAAAATGTATAACAGGTAATATATATATATATATTTTTTTATATAAAAAAAAGAGCCTCTACTAAAAAGTATACTAAATGATTTGTATCCCACAAAGCAATTTTTCTGCTTTAAAATCATAAAGAAATAATTAATGCATTAATAAATTCACAGTTACATTAAAGTGTTCAAACTCCAATATTAGCAGCTGTACCAAAACCTGAAACATTGTTGGGTCTATGTAGTGTATTTTAATTGTCCTCAGAACACCAGCAAAAATTATGATTCTTGTGGTATGTATGAATGACGGAACAAAAATCAAAACATAATGTCAACTTAAAATAAAGTGCTTGATCAGAATACATAAATTGTCATTTTGTTCAAAAATTATTATTTTTTTTTTAATTTATTAATACATTATAAAAAATTTAATTATTAAGTACTTAATATGATATTAGTTATCTAAATTTAGCAATATATTATTTTACCCCCAGAAGTTTGATTTGGCAGTGTTGTTGGAAAAGAAGGCACCATTCCTGGAAATCGCTGTCCAGGTAAAACAGAACGACCACGAGCTCTAGCTCCAGATGCAAGAACCATTTTGTTATATTGTTGTTGTTGCAATTGCAACATATTAGGATTGGGGAATTGTTTAAATCCAGACATGGCTGCTTGGTATACTGCATTTCCAGGACTCATTGATGGTTTATTTCGCAATACTCTAGGTATTTTTGCAGGAGGTTCCCAATCTAATGGAGGCGCCTTAAATAAAATTAAGACATAAGTTGAATTCAAAATGCATAAAATGTACTTTATAATAAAATAATTTACTATTGTATTTAATACTAATAAATACCTGATTAATTTCTGGGCGATACTTTTTCGAACAAGAAATCAAGTGTCTGGTTAATTTACCCTTATAGCTATCTTCAAAAGGACAACTTGGACATTGATGTAACGCTGGACCTCTCTCTAAACGGCCTTTGATAGTATGTGTATCCATGTGTTGTAATATTTCATGAGGACTACGTACTTGGAAAGTACAAAAATTACATCTGTAGCAGTAATTAGCTGTCATATGAGGAGTTTCTAAATGATGTGCCATTACTAAGCTTGATTCAGATTTAAAATTACACAATTCACACTTTTTTAAACCAAATTGGAATGGATCATTGTTCTCTTTACTAAACTCTAAAGTTTTAATTAGAGAACTAATTGCCATGTGAACTTCTTCGGGACATTTATCACCTTCACGATCTCTTTTTCTTCTTTGAGTACGTAACAAATCTAGTTGAACATGTTCTTGTACAAGGTTAACACCTATTTGCATAAAAAATTTTCCTAGCGGATTCTCAAAGTAATTAGGACTTGGAATCTTTGGTTTTTCTTTAACATCAGTTTTCTTTTCATCAGAGTCAACAGTGAGATCAGTAATACTATCATTTTTAGTAAAATCTATTGATTCAGACAAATTTTTTGATTTACAATTATCTTTTTTATTACTGTCTGATTCATCTAACATTTGTTCATCTTTATTTACTATATTTTTAGAGCTATCTTTTTCATTTTTCTCACCGCTAGATACTAGATTTTCTGGTTCATCAATATCCATCATTTCAATAGTATCAGAATTAGTTATTTTTTCTTTCTGATTATTTTCATTTTTATTTAAAGATACATCTTCTTCAACTTGATTTTCATCTCCATTACCTTTATTATCCTTTATTTTGTCTTCAATTTTTTCAACAAATTCTTTTAATGGTTTTTTGGGAGGCTTTTCATAAACATATGGTACAATAAAAGATGGTGCTTCAACAACAAACATATCATCAGTAAGAGTAGGTAAAATAATTGGTGGTTTCGGAACAATTGGAGGAGCAACAACAGGAGTTGGTGTAGTAGATAATATAAAAGGCTTGATTGAAGCTTGTGACTGTTGAACACGGTTAAAAGAATTTTGAATTGTTTTACTAGTCTGAGAAACATTAATAGCATTATTTTGGATATTTGATTGCACAGATACAGCTAGAGGTAAACTACTTCTTCCTGATAACATATTTGTATCAATTATAACTAAGGTAGGTTCTTTTTTATTACTTTTTTGTTTTGTTCCAGTAGCAATTTCAACTAATTTTTTAGTATCATTAACAACAATAGGTTTGGTAACCATTGGTGATTTTAGAGGTAAAATTTTAACACTATCTTCAGTTTCTATATCTTTTTTTTCATCATCTTTATCACTAAAGCTTTTGAGTTTATTTATATTTCTTGTACTTCTACGAGGAGTTAAGGTAATATCAGGAAAACTTTTTAATTTTTTTTTGCTACTATTACTAGAAGATTGCTTTGGATCTGGAACTTTAACAATAGTTACAGATTTATCAAGATTTATTCTAGAGTCTTCTAATGATTTTTTTATCTCATTTGACCTATTTTCGGTGTCATTTTGATCATTTATTCTATTGTCTTCTTCATCATCTTCATCATCCATTTGTTCTTCATCTTCTGTCTTTTGTTCTTCAACTTCCATTTGTTCTTCACTATTATTCCTAGTAATTTCTTTGGTACCATTACAACTGTTTTCTACATCACATAAATCATCACTATTCGTAGTTGCATTTTCACTATCAAAAGTCTGATCATCTTCGATTAACCTATTATCAGATTTACAGTCTTGGTTATTTATGTGATTTTCATCTTCACTATCATTATCTTCATCATTTATTTCACAATAACCATCTTCACCATCATTACTACAGTTAGATGAAGATTTACTATTTTTTACAAAACTTTTATCAGTGTTAATATTAAAATCATGGTTCTGTTCATTCTTATCATTTAGTTTATTGGTTTTACGTGCTTCACTAGATTGTTTGAGGTGTTCATTATCTCCACAAATATTACCATTTAATTTGACACCTAGATGGACAAAATATATTAATTTTTTATAACCATAACTATAAATAAATATTTAAAAATTAATTATAATAAATAATAATATAAACTAATAATGTCTTACTTAAATCAGTTTCTTTCAACTGTTCAATTTCTGTATCAGCCATTTTTAAGTATTTAATTCAATGAACATGAATCTGAAAATGTTTGCATATAATTATAATTATCAAAATATGTAAAATACATGTCTACAGTAAAAATTAAATAGTTAAAAATTAAATTAAAATTAAATTTTAAAATAATAATTTAAAATTAACTTATTAAAAATTAATAAGTTTAGTCATTTGGTTAAATTTGTATTTTTTTTCATCTTACAGAAGTTAAATATAAATTATAAAAAATCAAATAAAATAAATAGCAACGATCTGCAATACTTTCATTAAAATGAAAAATATAATTTTAATAATCAGTAGTAGAATATTTCTTTAATAATCATTTGATAATGAATCAGGCACAATGTATCAATATCAGATGTAGAACTATTTAAAATTTATTTATCTACTGGTTTTAGGCATAAATTGTGAATAAATATAATGTTATTTAACAAACATTCTAAAAACATAAAAAAAATAATATATAATAACCAGATTTTGAACTTTATAGCATTGAAAAGTACAGAAATATGCAGAATATGACCATCAAAATAGCAATCATAGTCAAAAATATTTATTTTTTACTTACAGTTTATTTTATAATTTAAATTATTATGTATATTCTTATGAATTATTACATTTATAAAATAAACCTAAAATAATCATTTATCTTTTTTATTAAATATTTAAATAATTTGTGATAAAATTTTTTTTTGCGAATTTTGCTTATTATAGATACTTAAATTAATACTGTTTTTCATTGAATAAAAACAATATTTATGAAAAATTATTATATTTTGCATATTAGTAAAAAAAATATTAAAAATTTAAAATATTTAAAATAAGTTTAAAAAAACTTAAATTTTGGAGTCTCTAATGCTATTTTAATCTGTATTCTTTAACAATGATAAAAATTCTATAAAATCAGAACACTGATTAGATACCTATAACAAATATACATTCCAGCAGAAGTGTATTTGATTGAATAGGCAGTAGATTTAAAATTAAAAGTTATAAAGTAATTAATTATACATTTTGATTTCAAAAGTATATGGACATATTTTTAAGCTATAATGAAGTTACAGATATTTATTCGTACAATAAGTCAATAAAAATATATAAAAAAAATATGTATATAAATAAATAAAAAAATTTATCCACCAAAAAAAGTGTCCTACTTACTAGCCAAATTTATTTTATTCACAATTGACCCCAATTGTTTATTATCTATATAATAAGTAAAAAAATTGAACAAATATCCAAATGCACCTTAACACATAAATTAAAATGTATAGCAAGTTAAATTATTCAAATCATATAATATCATCGAGTTGACTTTCAATAACGTATTCGAAGGTATAGGTATTCATAGCCAAAGTTTGTATGATAAGATTTTGATTATAAATTGTCTATGGCAAAACAGAAGCTGAAAACATAACCTACAACAGTAAACGAACGATTTGAGACAAGCCACTACCTAATTATAATATAAACTGAATGTTTTCGACTGCTATCATTATCACCGTCATCACGTTTTTACGACAAACGGAATCAAAAACTGACAAAAATAACAATAACAAACCAAATTATAACATAAGATAAATAAAAAACTTAAAAACGAAAACCATCAAACACCGATGAGAAATAAACACATTAACACTCACGTTTCAATGCGATCGTCGATCGATCTATCGATGGAGGAGAGGCATAAAAATGTAGGGGTAGCCGTCCCAAGTTGTTTACGCCGCAGTAATGAAAAAACCGACGCACTCATAACTACACACTACGAACATGTTTCGAATTAACGCGCGTACAAATCGATTATGGATTCATTTTCACCGTATATTATCTCGGAAATGACAAGAACGAAACGGTAAAAATATATAAATAAACGTATACGAACAGCGGATAATGCAATGCGTCTCCTAACGGGCAAGACGTTTAATACATACATGCACATAAACACACACACACACACACACACACACATACATACATAACACTCACTCATACACACACACACACACACAACGCTCTCTTTAACACACACGCACGCGTACACACACCAACACAAAACCACACGTCACGCAAACTGGGGGAAAGCCTTTTTAGTTCAGCTATGTTGCTCGCTACATTGCCGTGTTGTAGTTGAGTTGAGCGAGCTGAGCATTACCAACAGGGAGCCAACAAAAATACCAAAATCAAGCAAGATGGCGCTGCCGGTCACGTGATCACAAAATTCTATGACGCGTAGCGCAGGAAGTAGGAAGTAGCGGAACAGTAGAGTACATAATCGGAAGGAAAGATAGATAGATCGGAAAAATCAGAAATTATCACCTACAGATCAATGACCACGAAACGAATATGTTATACCGAAAGCCACTAGTGAACTTGTTAATACTAGGTTTCATCAAATAACGGTCATGGTTGATCTTTTTAGCGAGTATCATAAGGGCGCATAAGAATTTATAAATGTTCGTCATTAACTGTACAACCATTATGAATGAATTGTGCTATACGTTTAGATCGTTTAGTTGCCAAAAAAAAAAAAAAATTTTCCTAAAATAAGATCGAACATTTTTCGGCATTACCGTCAAATCAAAATTGAAAATCATTAACCAAATTGTTAACTGTGTAGAAAAATTAGGAAAAATACAGGGCATAAGCAAAATCATCAACATTTTTTCAACCAAAAGTAATAATAAAAATGTGTGAGAATCAATAGAAAAGTGATTAAACGGCGTCACATTATAATTATAATGATGGCGTATTGAATCTAGAACATATAATAACTATGGAACGTGAAGCAACGGAGGGGAGAAGGGAGAAGTCTATGTTCTCAAGTTGCACGCTTAGGTTGGCCAACCTGAATTATGTATGGTACTTGGCCCCTGTATTTTATGTATGCGTAGAAAAGCAATGGCGCGCCCAGAAATGTATAGGTGGGGGGAAAATATATTTTTGTGCTACACTGGGATCCACAGTCAGGGAAGGTAGTTAGGTGGTATGGGGAGAGAGCGGGGCAATTTTTTGAAATTCTACAACATTTGTATAGCCTTTGATCATCCTAAAAGTTCATAAAACACGGACAAAAATTTACTTTAGATTATCTATAGGATAAATGGCCTCTGTCTATTAATATTTTTTAAATTACTTTATAAAATAAACGTATTTAAAAAGAAATTTTAATTACAGAGAACAATATACTTATGATTCGTTAAAAATAACAATATTATGAAATTATTAATAAATGAAAAATTGCAAAACCAAAACTGATAATAGTTTTATGGTTGAAGACTGCTTTTATATTTATAACTTAATTTTTATTAAATGTACGGTTAATAATTATGTTAAATAAAAAAGAATCAAAATATTCGAAAATAGTGAATAAATAATAAAATAAATTTTATTAAGTATGAAAAATTTAATATTAACATTAAACATGAAATTACTATTTTTACAAAAACTTAGAGGTATTTACATTAATTTAGTGTTAAAAATGTAAAAAAAATAAAATTGGAATTTTGATATTTTAAAATGAATTAGGTACCATGATACATTAATTTTAAAGAAAATTTAGTTTTTAAAAATGAAAAATATTTGTCATAACTATAATTTATAACAAAAAATAAAAATATATAAAATACCTACCAAATTATAAGACTTTAAACAAGTATTTCAACTCAACAATTAAATATTATGTAAAATTATAAAAATTAATTTAGTGCAAATCTATAATTTGCTTAGTATAATTTAATTTGTATTCATAGCACTATTTTTTTTATTGAGGCAATAAAAACTATCAATTTCTAATAAAATTTATACTTTTTGATAAAATTTTTAACTGCATATATATTTTACATGTAGTTAGCTATTGGGTTTTATCTAAGTTATAATTTATAAATTATTCATGCAACTAATTATTTATAATTGTATAATTAAAAATTATTCTAAGCATTTTAAACCGTAGCAAACAATTTTATTTAATAAATTACTAAATGTAGAGAATTTTAGAGAAAGTTTTTCAAATAGTATTTTTTTTTTTTTTTTTAACTTACTTATTTTCAGGATTTTTATTTAACGCCAACATATAAATATTGTAATCTTTAGGTAATGAAAAGAATGTGATAATGATATAATTATCTAATGAAACATGAGAAGACTTAGTAGTTAAATGATATGCATCTGATACAACATACAAAATTTACGTAAAACATAAAATAGCATAACATTTACTTAATATACGGGATAACATTGTTCATTATTTATATTTAATAAAAAAAATTTTTAATATCATTTTTTTTGGTTTAAATTTATTTATAATTAAACTCTATTTATATACATGATAGGTATAGATATAATAACTTTTTATTATTATTTTAGTATAAATCATTATCATATAATATTTATACATGATTAACATAAACAGAAACAATTTAAAAATATTTATATTTCATAAATTGGAAACTATTAATCCTAACAAACGAAAAAAAAAAGAAAAAATGTTATACCATCACTTTAAGGAATAGAAACCAAATTATGTTCAGGACATTTTATATCTACTTAATATAATAATTTACTATAAACTAATTTAACTGAAACAACAATTAATAATTAGTTATAATAATAAACTAGAAATTGTTTTATAAAATTTAGTAATACAAATTATACAGGTATAAGCCATTATAAAATAAAATATTTAAGATGAATTAAATTATATGTTTAAATTAATAAAAATAAGATAAATTACTCAATAAATACAAAAGTTCAGAATTTATATAATGGCATATTGGCATCAATATTTTATAAGTAAATTAGTGGAAATATATTATTAATACAATTAAAATAATGATTAAATTAAAAACAAACCTGAAATAGAATAATAAGTCTTCATCAATAATTGATAAATCAAACTTTTTAGGATGCTTCGTTTCTTAATTTACTCTTTATTTTTCTTAAGTTTGTAATATATTTTTAGTTAATATTTATACTCATTTAAACAAGTGAGGATAGTAGTTACTTCATCTCTTTCTAAAAAAAATATATTTTACATAAACATCTTAATTTATTAAAGTACATCAAATTTATTTCTTACGTACATGGCTTATTATAGTTTAAATGAAAATGAGTCTACTAATTTACCAAATTTGTAGATAAAGAATAGACAAAATATGTAATTTATTCTCAAAAAGTAAAAAGATTTTGTAATTGATAAATATTCAAATACTATTTTCGACAAGCTTCTAAAATACACAAAGCAATTAGTTAGGACTAACCAAACATCGATGCATAGATTGCTCAGAAATATTTCTTGTCCAACTGACACTGAACATTAGTATGATTTAACTATAACTAAATTTTAATCAACCCTACAGACAACATTTAACAGAGAATCACTAATATATTTTTTCTGGCTCAACCAGTTTAATACACCATAATACACCATATAAAAAAATATAATAAAATGGGAAAAATACTATTTTCAATAGCCAACTAAATTACAGTTATATCTTTAACTTTGCATTGAACAAATTATTAGTTAAACATTGAAAAATAGTAAACTTATTTAATTTTTAAATTTTAGATTTTTATAAATAAATTAAAATTTTGTTTTATTTTGTAGTTGTCAAGATAAGTTCTTAATTTAAAAATATACATAATATATCATGACAATGATTGCAAAGACTAGAATTAAATGATATACTCAGGGTTAACTATGAAGTTAAAAACTAATTCCAAGTAAATGCATTTCCATCAAAAATAATATAATACCTTTATACTTAAAAAATTTACTTTTAAATTCAATTAACATTTATAAGAATATCTCAAAAAAATAATGGCTTTCATTTTAACAATATGATTTTTGTCTTCTACAAACATATTGCAATTAAATTTTGTAAAACAAACTTATACATTTAGAATAAACAAGTAAAATGGTATTTAATTAATAAAAATATATTATAGGTAGTATTGGTGACATTTGTATATTTATACGGCATAATCTAATAATAATGAATATAAAGAAACAAAAAAGCACGATTATAGTTATAAATATGGTGCATATTTGTATGTCATACAAATTGTTTATAAAAATTATTTAATTCAAGATTATTAAAATATTTTGTATAAAAAAAATTATTATAATAATGAATATACAATTATTAATGTATTATAATCTAAAAGCATTTTACAACCAAATTAAAATAAAAAAATAAACATTGAGAATATTATTTGAATAATAAAAGTATTAAACCTAATCTAATATAAAAGTTATTTCAATATCATATCAACATTTGAAATTGATCATTAAGGATCATTAAGAATATTATCATAAGATAAATATACAATTCAATATAATTTGTTTGGAACTTTGGCTGTAGTCCTTCATCAAATTTAATTTTTATTTGGAACAAATTTAACTAATACTTTGATAGAGCGGTTTTTTTTTTATACCATTGATTTATTTTTAAGGTTTGTGCAAATAAATAAAATATTTATTTGATTGGTAAATGAACAATTACTAATTTTTTATTGAGGAGAATGTTTAACAAAGAACTAATTGAAGAAATAGGAATGACTACAATTAAATATTACATAAGATGACAAAGAATTCAATGGTTTGGGTACATTAAGCGTGGAAGTGACGATAAAATAATAAAGATAGTACTGTCTTAGAAACCAACGAGTTACAGACCACGAGGACGTCCAAGGAAAAGTTAGATGGATGTGGTCGAAGAAGATTTAAAAAGGATAGGAGTAAATGATTGGAGAAATATAACTCATGATCAAGAGAAGTGGCATGAATTTGTGATGGCGCAAAAACTTTTGCAGAGTAGATAAAGCCAGAAGAAGAAGGTAAATGAACATTGATTATAATTTTGAGTTTGTGAGTGCCTATTAGAAAATTATTAAATTATATCAATAATATGAAAATGATCATGTTCAAATATAAATAATAAAAAAAATCATTATTTTCATAAATCATACAATATCATTTAACACAACATTTAAATATCCAGTTAAGACAAAAAACAATTTATAGGAACACAAACTTACTATTTGGTAATGTCAATTAAACTTTTTCTATAGTTTGATTTCTATATTAAATTTTCTCATAGAAAATAATATTTTGTATGCTTTATTGCAAGCAATATATTTTCTTTTCGGCATTTCAAAA